TCCCTGTGTGATCTGCCCTTGGGAGAGCACTTTATAAGGAGCAGCTCTCTGGCAGCATGAGGGTCCACAAGCTCACAGTTTTCAGCCATGGGGTTGGGATTCTGCGTGCAGGTGGTGGCATTGCCACTGCTGTCCCCACCCTGAGGACTGTCCCTGCTGTGCTGCTCCTTCCTTGGCTTTGCTGGGTAGCAGGGCAGGAGCTGCAGGAGGGGTGCTCCCAGTTTGAACTCGTTCTGCAAGCAGCTAACCCAGCAGCAAGAGGAGTGTGGGTGTCAGGACTGAGGTATCGTCTCTGACCAGGGACCCTCTGACTGCAGCCTTCATTTCCTTGTGTCCTCTGGAGCGTGGAAGGGCTACGGTAAAGCAGAAGAAAGTCCAAGCTTTAAGGAGCTCCTCTCTTGTGCTTGGTATTCAAGATGCAATGTGGCTCTGCATTCTAGAGGGTGGCACAAGCAGTGCCTTGCTCTTGCCTTGCTCCTCAGCAGTCTTTGTAGCATCCTCATGGCTGTTCTGAACAGCAGAGCAGTCCTGATGCTTGTGCTGGTAGCTGGTGCCACCCCGCTGGGAGGAGTGGGGAGCCAAAGCAGAACATCCAAGCTCACGTTTGCTGAAGCTGCAGACTGGGGTTGAGGAGAGAGGGCTCTCTTTCCCTGCCTTTGCATCTTCTGGTACCTGGTGGCATTTCTGTTTTCTACCAATTATTAGGGCTTGTCTCAGAGGAGCAGTGCTGGTGTGCCAGCCCTTCCAGCAGAGCTGTGTGCATGGGAGCACTGTGTGAACTCCCAGAGATGCTCCCTGGCCTCTGGGTGTGACAGCCCTCCCTGGGCTCCCGAGGCTCTGCCGTGTTGGGCAGCAATGCAGGACTGTGGGATACTGGGCAGTGCTATCCTGGTGTGCTATTGCCTGCCCATGTCTTCCCCCTCCCCCTGCCTACTTGCTCCTGCATCAGCCTGCATTTGTAAAATGAAATAAATATTGACATGGACGGGATGCTATTCAATTTGTCCTGATCACTGGGCTGCGGTGAGTTCTGACAGAGCACAGTGTAAAACATAAGCTCAGGATGTAATTTCTACTGTCAACATGATGTACAGTATAGCTGTGCCAAATGCACACCAACAAACTGCACAAGCTCTTGTGGGGAGGGGAGGGGGGAGTTGTGCTGATAATTGGAATCAAGGATGGCAGAGCAGCAGGAGAGGGGACATCACCCTGGGCCTGGGGCAGTGTGAGGGTATGGTGCTTCACACTCTGCATGGAAGCCTGCTTGGTGTGCTGAGTGCTGGGCACGCTGCCATGTGGGTGCCTGTGTGCTGCTGTGGGCTGGGCTGGCTGCAGCAGCAGCTCCCACTGGTTATTTACAGCCCCGCTGCTCACGTGTGGCAGAGAGAAGGGGCACTTCCAGCTGTTGGTGAAAGGTTTTCAATAAAACAGGGAAATAAACATAGTGCTAGTCATGGTTCCTGTGCATGGGACCTTCTGGGGTGTCTTGATTCCTGCTGCTGCGAGGGCATGAGTAGGACTTGGGGCTCTTGGCTTTGCAGCCTCTAGAAAAGGTCTGTGATGTGAGAAAAAAGGTTCTGCACGCTGAGGAGAGACATGACCCTGAAGCTGTCACAGAACAAACACAGGCTGAGAATTTGTCACTGGAGAAGGAGGATCTGGTTTGTGGCTGTGAGCTTGGCTACAGATGTGTCTCTGGGCCCACATTTTGTGGTGCAGGGAACTGGAGGTCACCACAGGTTCTGTAGTTGGGCTTTGATGTCTGGGACCTGGATGAGGCAACTTGGGTTACAGCACCTGCATTGCTGCCCACAGGAAGAGCATGCAGACAGCTCAGCTGAGAGTAGCTGAACTTTGGACACATGAGGCAGTCACCAGCAAACTGCATTAGCTCAAATGAGAGATCTGTTAAATAAAAAACAGCACAATAGCTGAGACTATACACAAGGTTGTGTTTCCCACAGCAACGCAGCCCAGCCCATGGGTGCTCAGCAGGACTCTCCTCTCCATGGCAGAATCTGCTCTGTGGAGTGCTCAGATGCAACAGGGCTGAACAAGTTGCCTTGGGAACTGTGGGCCAGCTTGTCTGCCAGCCAGGGAGCAGCTCTGCTCAAGTGGAGCTCGCCCACTGCAGCACTCTGCTCTCACTTCCTCTTTCCTGCCTTGCCTTAGTGTGTGCATTTAAACTGTTATTGTTACTGGTTTATGGATACTGTTTGGGATTGTGCTGCTTCCACTGATGTGCTGTAACTCTGGACAGGCTGAGGGCCCAGTGTCTGTTTCTGAGCGAGGAGCAGTGCCATTTCTGTGTGCACAGGGCTGTCTGCAGTGTGTGGCTGGGGTAGCTGTGTTGTGGAGTCAATCAGAATGCCACTAAGGTGTGAAATGGTGTGATGAGGGGAATGAAGGTGGCTCCTACTGCTGTCACAGAGCCAGTGCTGGTGCTTTCTGCCAGCTGTGTGCCCCGAGTGCTGCATACTGGAGGCAGTGGCAATGTGCTGCCTTCATGTGCCAGCTCGGTTGGAGACCCTGGATGTGATGTTAGCTGTGGTGTCAGGACTTGCTCTGCTGGACTGGCTTTCTTGCAGCCTCCCCATGTGTTCAGAAGGCCTTCAGTGTTGCAGAACTGCTCCCTGGCACTGGCATTGCTGCTCAGGCTTCTGGCAGGGCTTTATAAATCAGTGTGGATGGGTCTGCTCCTGGATAGCAAGGAGAAGATTCTGGGTGGGCAGAATGGGAGACTTCAGCAGGTGGTGGCTGCTTCTACCCAAAGCTCTGCTGACATAGTTGTCCTGAGAACACATGCAGATGGATTCTTTTTTAAACTCTCCTTCTGGCAGTTGAGTTAACCAGCTACAACTCATTTGTACTCAGATTTTGGATGCAACCGGAGGTGTTGCCTGCAAAAGTGCTGCAGAGTGTCAGGCAGAGATGCTGGATAGATTGTTCTCCCCACACTTACTGTTTGCCCTTGTTGCTAACCTGAAACTCTTGCTCTGGCACAGTTTGTGCTGCTCAGTTTATTGACATGCTTCACTGTTTGGTAACCTACTCCAAAATAACCAGAGATCTCCTAGATGTGAGAATTTGGAGAGGTGCTGTTTGTGACAGCGGTGCACTATGTCTTGTATTTATCTTCTATATACCCAGGTGAGCATGATAAAGCACATTTGCCCTTGTGCTGTTCTTGTGTCTTGCTCTGGAGCCTGCTGTGGGTCAGGCAGCCTCAGCTCCGTTGCTCCAGAGCAGAGACCCCAATTTCTGCATTTGATCTGTGAAGTTGCTTCACCCTCTGTGTGGGAAGAGATGGCTCGGTCTGTCCCCACCTACGGGTCATCTTGCTCCCCTAAGTGTACAGTGTTAAGTACTCTGGTGTTTGGTAGGGATCCTCACCAGCAGTGCAGCTGTCCCTGCCCTTTGGGAGCAGGGACAGGAATTGCTTCTGCATGGGGAGGTCTGGCTGCAAGACACAGTCATGGCATTGCCAGCAACCTCACCTGCCTGGTGTGGAAATATCTTCATAAATAAATGGGCTGGCAAGGAGGAGGGGTGGGGAGCAATGCTAGTGCTTCTGTACCATGATTGCTAACATAAAAATGCACTGGAGACCCTGTCTTTCTTGGAGCATGAAGTGCACAGGGCTGGCACAAGTGACAGCTGATGTGCATGTGTGAGTGGAATATAGCTTGTGTACATGGGGAGGAAATGTGTGTGCACACAAATGAGGCACAAATAGACAAAAGAAGATGGTGTGTATGAAAGATCTTAGCTGTGCATGGGGTGGGATGTGTGTGAGCCCTTTTGGTGAATAGATGTGTGCACATTGTGGGACACACAACTTGTGAGCCATGAGCAGGCAGTGTAGAGTGATGCTTTGTGGTTCTCAGGGAAGTGTTTGTCCAGACAAGTGCATGCAGGCAGGAAAGAGTGCAAGCAGACCTTGTTTGGGAAACAGCCCCATTGGTGGAGTCACACAGGGGAATGGCAAGTGAAAGAGCTGGAGAAATATGTGGGAGCTGTCCCTCCTCTGAACAGCTGAGACTGTTCAGATTCATGCAAGGGTCTGTGCAAAGCACAGTTCAGTTCCCTTTCTGTGGGGAGTAGATGAACATCTAGTCCAGGATCATTTACCTTTCCATTCACCCTTTTTCTGCCTCCTGTACAGACTATCAGCTGACAGGAGATGAATTCTGCAGACTGGTGCATGTTTCATGAGTAGATCAGGCTGTGGCTGCTGTCGCAGAGCTCTGGTGGAAGCTCAGGGTGTTAGTGCAGGGAGAGATGGATGCTGCATCCCCAACTCCTGATCAGACTGCTTCTTCCCATGTGCTCACTGGATGCAGTGTACCCTTGGCTAAAGGTCTCACGTCTCAGCCCTTCGTGCCTTGAAGGTGGCTTGAAGCTTACACCTGAGCCCTTTTTCAAACTGTTACCTTTAGAGTCAGCCAGGTGGCAAATTCTTGATGAACAGATGCTTTTCTCCTGCCCATGGCTGCAGAGGTGAGATGACAGAAAGGTTCTGCAGGGAGGGCTTGCAGGAGTGCCTGGATAGGCATGGATACCTCCCATGCTCAGGGGCTGGTATTCCTCAGCGTGAGCCTTGTCTGCCAGTGCAGGGCTGCTGTGGTCTGGTCCTGTGCAGGCACTGGCAGCTGTGCTGTGCCAGGGGTGCTGCTACACATCTCCTAACAGTGTGAGCACCAATGACTCCCTCCAGGCACAGACCTCACTCCTCTCAACAGCCAGGACCATGTGATGAGGGGGTGCCCTTGTCAGCAGGGTCCTTGGTCTCAGAGTCCCTGCTGGAGCAGATGTCTGCAGTGCTGAGAGCTCTGCAGCCCTTCCTGTTGTGTTCCTGGCAGGACCTGTGGGGTTTGGCCCTGCTGTGGAGCACCTGGGGCAGGGCAGGGTGGGAGATACTGACCAAGGCTGCAGGAGCAGCACAGGGGGACATTGGGCCGTGTTTTCACACCAGCTCTGACACCTTGGCTTTTTCCAGGCTCCTGGAGATGCTGCTGACTGCCCTGCACCTCCCTGCGTGAGCCAGCAGAGAATGGAAGAGACCAGAATCATCTGGGCAAAGGACCCTTCACCAGGCACTGGGATGTTGTCCCCCTGAAGATGGGAGTTACAAAAGGCCTTGTGAACTGCACGTGTGGCTCAGACACCTGCACCGTCACACCCCTTGCACAGTAGTCCCAGGCTGCCACAGGATAGGCAGACGCTGGCCACAGCAGCTCATCCTATTAACTCCCCTGTGAAAACATTTGTGGAAGAGCTTTCCTTCTCCTCCTGTGAATGCCAGCAGTGGGTGTCTGTGCCCCGTGTGCCGCTGCGGCGTTCCCTGCCCGCTGGTGGGGTGGGCAGCAGGCTGTGCATCGCCCCCTTCCCCAGCGAGGCCGGCGGCAGCCGAGCACGGAGCCCTGCAGCTCTATCCCCGGGGACAAATGCCAGCTGCCAGACTCTTCTCTGGAGACCCAGGAGCAGCCTGTGAGGCACCAGCACTGACTGCTCCCACGGCAGCAGCGGGCGGTCCGGGACGCCTGTTGTCGCAGATGTGACTCACGCTGGACAGGAGCGCTCCAGCTGCAGGGCACGGCATGCAGCAGGGACAGGGGTGCTCTGCACTGACCGGGCAGCCTCACGCTGCTACTGTGGACTTTCCTCCTACTCTTCCCTAAAGGATGCTGGCTGCCCGTCCAGAAGCTCCTGCTCATGCAGCCTTCTAGGGTGCCATGGCGAAGGGTCTGCAGGGCTTCTTGTGGACCATGCTGCTGCTGTTCTGCGCCATCCAGGAGCTGGGGACCTGGGCCATGCACACGGCGGTGGAGGGCCCTGGCCTCGGGGAGCCCGGGGATCCTGCACTGCTGGCCGGCGGGCGAGTGAAGCGTGGCTGGGTCTGGAATCAGTTCTTTGTGGTGGAGGAGTACACGGGCACCGAGCCGCTGTATGTGGGGAAGGTAAGTGGAGCTGATGTCTCCATGGGGCTGACAGAGTCAGGGGCAGGGTGGACGGACATGCTGGCAGTGCTGAGCAGAGAGAGGGCCCATGTGAAGGTTGTTCACTGGGGCCTGGCTAAGGAAATACTCTGTGGACTGCGATGGCAGGCGCCTGGTCCCTGCTGGGAGTGGTGAGATTAATGTGCTCCCAGAGATGAGAACAGGACAAACCAAGATTTACATCTGTGTTCCTACACTCGTATACTGGGTCCTTCTGATGTCTGGGTGTGGGTGCAAGAAGCCCTGTCTCTGTGGGAGCAGCTGGCAGGTGACAATGCCTTCCTGGGCAGGACTGGGTCTGTAGGTGGGAGCTCACCACACTTCCCTGGCATGTGACCTCCTGGGAAAGCTGGACATGAATGACCTCTGGTCTCTCCACTCCTGGTGTCCTGAGGCTGAAGGAGCATTTCACCTTGGGGTTGCTGGGCTTTTTCTGGGAGCTTTGGAGAAGCAGCTGCCCATGTGTCAGGCAGATGTTTGTATATGGGTGAAGGCAGTGCTGGTTGTTGGGACCCATCAGAGGAACACACTGCAACCCAGCTAGAGCTGGAGGCATGGGCTCACCCCACAGGAAAGTGCCCAAGAACTGGTACAGCAGGGCTGTCTGATGGCCTCAGCAGTCTGGGCATGAGTCTGGAGGAGCTTGAAAATGGGTTTCTTGGCTGGGGGCCAGCAGGGATTTCAGTGGTGATTTGTGTCCGTTTCAGCAGACACTCAAAGCCGCACTCCTCCGCTGCCCTCGGAGCAGGCACAGCTAATTCATGGCTCCCCTGGGAGCAGCGGAGGCACCAGGCCCTGTCACAGGCCTGGCAATGCCTCGGCTCCAACTGAACCCAAACCTACGGCTCACCCGTTTTACAGCCCCTTTCCACATCACCCACCACATCACCCGCCTGGCTCACAACAGCAGCGCTGAGATCACTGCCTGTGGATCCCCAGGGCTGAAAGACAGCAGGGCCAGGCTTTTCCTGGTGCTGGGAGAGGATGGAGTGCTTGCTTGGGACACTGTCCCCATCAGTGTGCCAACCCTCTTAGTACACTCTGTGGGTCCAGAGCCTTCCTGCACTGGGAGGGACCCTGCAGGGTAGCTGGGGCTTGCCCTCTGTGGATGCCTCTCACACACCTACATGTGCTTTCTGAAGGGCCGATACTATTTCCATAAAATCTGGGTTCTCTAGCTAATCCTTCTTCTGAACTGTAATTTCCCCCGAGGCTGCTGTCAGTTTGATGTGGATTTCTTTGGGTTTTTTAAATAGAATTATGGGGTCAGCACTAGTTACAAACTTCTGCATGTGGACAGATCTATTTTAGATAGAGGAGAGGATTAAAGGGAAAAAAGCAGATTTAATTAAGTTGCTAATATTTAAAGAAAATTGATGAACTCGGGCTTTATGAGTTGGAGCAAACAGAGTGCGCCTTTATTATGGGCTAGTTTTTATTTGATTTTCTTTCTTTTCTAGCCCTAGAGTAATTTTTTATTTGTGTATCTGTGCTTTCTGTTTAATTGCTTTTAATAAGGAATGTGCACCTCTGTTCATATTTAATTTTGATTTAATTATTAGTATGTAATTAATGGCTTCGTAAGAATTCTGGTTGTAGTCTTTTAGGACAAGGAAACAATTTTCCTGTTTAACAAATGGGACAGATCAGCCCATTGTCCGCCCTCTGGATGTCCCAGATCTGCAGACACTGCTGTCCTTGCTTGGGGCTGAGCTGCAGGCAGGGCTGGGTGGTCCCTGTGCTCTTGGGGCCCAGCAGGGCTGTGTGACTTCGGTCTGCTGCCATGCCCAGGGGTGGAGGGAGCCCTGAGGCTGCGTGGGAGCACGGTGCTCCCCAAGCCTGCCTCCTGTAACAGGGAGGAGAGAACATCCCTGGGATGTGGTCCGGGTCTGTGGCATCTCCCCTCGCGTTTCTGTAGTCTGCCATCCGGCCCTCCCCCATTAGTTGTTGTTTAGCCAAGCAGCACAGATTTAGCTCTTTTAATCTTCCCCTGTAAATCAATCTCTGCAGCCCCTTGAGCCCAGGCTCCATTTTTCTTCCTAGCACTCCGGTTTGCAGGGATGCTGGTGAATGCTCCAAGCAGTCAGCAATGAGCAAATATGTGAAGAGGATGTGCTGAGAGCTCAATGTGGTGCTGGATACTTTATCTCTAGTCTAATTATTAATCATGAGCCCGGTGTTCAGCAGAAAAATGCAGGTTTCTGCTACCTGCGCTGCACAGACCTGGTGCTCCTTCTTTGTTCTGAAAAGATCAAGGTGTAGCAGTGAGAACTGAGGAGAGGGTGATAAAGTGAAGAGGGCAGCAAGCTCTCCACCAGCCAGCGGGGAGGGTTGGGACTGGATGGCCAGGCTGGGATGGCCAGGCTGGGGTGACCATCCCCACAGACCCAGGGCAGGATGCTCCAGGTGGCCGGGGCAGGGTGGCCACCCCATAGGCACATTTGTAACCAAAGCCGTGATGGTGGTCCCAGACTCTGCTGTCTGCCCTATTTGTGAGCTGAGTGAAGGTCTCTTTCCAGGCAAGCCTTGAGAGATGTGTCACCATGGGCAGTAATTTGTGAATGTTGTGCAAAACGCATTGAATTGCCTAACGTGTGGGTCCCTCACTTGTGAAATAAATATATAAACTGTATCTAACAAGACAAATATAATGAAGGCATCATAAAAAAAGAGGCAGCTCTGGTATAAATTCTTGCTGGTGGAGCTGTATGTCTGAAAGGTGGATTATAGAACTGCAGTTTGGAAGATTGAATGGCCCATAAACATTTTCATATTTCATTAGCCGATTAATGGACGGCTTTTTTCTTTTTTTGGAGGGGGGGACATGACTTTGCTGATTCTAAGCAGAAATTGTAGGAAACAAATGAAAGCAGCTGATGAAACCTTTCCGGGGGCCTGTCCCAGTATGGATTGTCCCAATTAATGCCCGTGCTGCTCTCTGTCAAGATGCATTCTGCCTGTCCAGTTACTGTTAATAGATTTCTCATAAGTGGCTGGATTGTAAAAACCTCATAACTCAGTTTAATGCCACCAATAAAATTATCTCTGGACGTCTGGCCTGGATTCCAGTCAGCTCTTGGTCTGTGGGGAACTGCTGTTTACCCTTTCTTTTCCTAATGCCAAACATTGTCTTAATTAAAAAATGAAGCAGCAGAGATTGCCTGCAAAGGCATCTTCCTCAGGGTCTGTTTTTAGTCCTGAACATGAGCCGGTTTGTCACACTCTTTTGGAAGTTTTATCCAGGTGGGGCTCTGGGCATGATGATGGGATGTTGTGACCCCTTTTACCCTGCAACATAAACCCAGCTCAGGGGTGCAGGGAGTGTGTCAGCTCCCCAGCAGGGAGACTTGTCAGCTGCCCAGATCATGGAGGGTGGCTGTGGGTGAGGCAAAGCAGGTGGATGAGGATGGACTTTGGGCAATTGGTTGTGTAGAAGGGGAGGGATGCTGATGGTGAGGTACCTGTGCAGCTTTGGAGAGGTGATCCCATGCTGCCAAAGTCCCTTGCCCATAGGAAAGCCTCTTTCTTTGGAGTGCAGCTGAGTTGTTCTTCACTTTTCCATTATCTCATAGCCCCTTATTAGAGGGGTTTGTCCCTTGGTTTGTAGTGGGGGTGGGCACTGGCAGAATCTGTAATCTGCAGAGCCGTAAAAGCAGGCCTGAAATTCCAGTTCATTGGGCTTTCTTTCATGCACAAGAGTTGTCTGGTGGTGCTCTGTGTCACCATCCAGTCCAACAAGAGCAGAAGGGCATCACGCGGGGACCATGGGCATATGGTGCAGGTGGCTGGGGTTGGGTACGAGCACAGCCCCAGCCTGCTCCCACCCTCTCCCTCTTCCCTTGGCAGATCCACTCGGACTCAGATGAGGGAGACGGCTCCATCAAGTACACCATCTCCGGGGAGGGCGCAGGGACCATCTTCCTCATCGATGAGATCACAGGTGACATCCACGCCACCGAGCGCCTGGACCGGGAGCAGAAAACCTTCTACACCCTGCGAGCACAGGCCCGGGACCGGCAGACGGACCAGCTGCTGGAGCCCGAGTCAGAGTTCATCATCAAGGTGCAGGACATCAACGACAGCGAGCCACGCTTCCTGGAAGGGCCCTACATCGGCAGCGTGGCGGAGCTGTCCCCCATCGGTAGGTCTGCTGCGGGAGATGCCGTGGGTTGGGAAACCTGCACCTCTCTCCTGTCAAACCTTGAGCCTGATGTACCCCGCAAAAAACACTTGCAAATCCCAGGGATTCCAGAGCTAGCGAGCCAAAAGGGAAAAATAAATAAGGTGGCTTAAGAAAAACAAGTGGATAAATCCTCTGAGCTGATTGCCAGCCTTTGGCTGAGCGCTCAGTCTCAGCCCTAAGCCGTGCTCTGGGGATGGGTCGTGGTGGTGCCAGCTGCCTGCTGTGCACTGACTCTGGCTTTGCACAGCCCCCTCCCTCCTAAATGCTGGGAGGTTGGACTAAGCCCTCACAAACCAAGGGTCTCACGTCTGCCTGTGGTCAGATTTGTCTGGGTGGTGCTTTTCCCCCAGCTCAGGCCGTTTTCTGTGTGCTGCTTTGATGCTCTTCTGAGCCCTGGGGCTGTCCAGGCATCATCCCTTTGTGTGTCCCCATGCAGAACTGCCACACCCTTCTCAGCTGGATCTGTCCTTCTCGGAGGGGGCAGGCCTTGTTGACTGAGGCTGGGGAAATCACGTCCCTGTGACAGAAGTGTGGCTTCCCTGTGTTCACCTTAACTGCCCATCCCCTTGGCACTAGGCCCCTCTTAAGTGTGTTGGTGATCAGCCTCACTGAAGCTCTTAGGGCCGGGCTGGGATGATGAGGCTGCACAAGTCTGTCCCCCTGGGATGACAGAGGTGATGTGTGAGCTGCAGCACTGCTGCCCTCACTTCTGCTGGGTTCCCACACTGCTGAGCACAGCTGGAGCCCAGGAGAATGACTGGTGCTGCACTGCCCAGAGCCATGCCATTCCCTGTCCATGCCATTCCCTGTCCACACTGGGCACTCTGCTACCCCTATAGCAGGCTGTGTGTGTCAGCATGTGCTGCAAGCAGGAACTGTAAATCTCTGTTCCCAAAGGCTGTATCCAGGTAGAAGACAGCTTGTGACAGGCTGACATCAAAGATCAGGCAGGACCCCAGCACTGTCAGCAAGGGCTGAGTCAGCAGCACAGGGGGCAGGAACAGTGCCAGGAGTGCAGAGAGCCCCCAGGGCAGGGGCAGCAGCTGAGCTGCACCAGGGGCTGGAGGGGTGAGCCACCAGCTCCTGCTGTGCTGCTGCAGGAAGGTCTGGCTGCAGAGGCATCCTGGCAGCAGAGCACAGGGGATGGTGCTCGGGTCTGCACTGCCTCAGGACAGAGTTCCAGCTCTCCATGGTTCACGTGCAGCATATTGCAAGGCTGGTGCATGGCCTCCTGCAGGTACAGATGTACAGGAATTGCCCGCACCAGAGGAGCTGCTGCTGCCTGGATTCTCTTGATGTATGGAAAACAAGTTCTCCTGAGGCATCCCAAGCTCTCTTTCCACTTCCAGTTACCTGTGCAAATCCTTCCCTCAGTCAGAGAGTGACCTCTTGAACTATAGCTGGGTGCTCCTGGAGGTATGAAAGACAGTATGTGGGCACCAAAGCAAGAGGCATCCTGTTCCCAAAGGGAAGAAAGAAATTAAATTAATCTAATTTGCTAGAACAACATTTTAAAAAGCAAGGAATTCTCAACTCTGGGTATTAGACAAGGATCCCAGTTCTTTGAAAATCACTAACAATTATGGAGCTGCCTGATCAGACTGATGTGAACAAGACATATCAAAGGAGACAGTTTCTATGCGAAATTGGAGATCAGAGGGAGAAAGAAACACGGTTTCACAACATGAAAGAAGGCGATTCCTGCAAATTAAAATACTTGGAAGTTAAAAGTAAAGAGAAGTGCTGTGAACGGCGTGGGCTGCATTTCCCAGCTGTGTGCTTAGAGAGGGGTGCTGGAGCCAAGAGCCTGTTCTGCTTTCCAGGCTACCTGCCTGCCACAACCTCGGAGCCTTCTGCAGTCTGGCCATCCTGGGGAGTGTTCGGGCTCCTCCAGAGCAGCCTTGCCCTGGAGACGGCCCAGGGAGGGTCTCACACATCATCTTCCCATGGTGCTGCTGCCCAGGCCCCGGCAGTGTGAGTGCAGAGCTGGAGGGACCCACATGCTGCTGCTGCAAGTCCCCAGCTCCCTCCCACTTCTCCCTTGGCTTCCCAGTGCTTTGCCCAGGAACAGGCAGCATGAAGAACAAGGTGGACACATCCTGTGAAAGCATAAACAGGCAAGGCTGGCAAGGAGCTTTCTGCTCAACCCTCTGAGGTTCAGCAGCTGGGAGGCAGATGGGGCTGGTCATGGACCTGGTGTGAGAAGTTCAGCTCCAGATGCTGTAGGAAGGGCTGAGGGTTCAGGATATGGGAGGCTGCTGGGCCAGGGAGGTGAAGTTCAGGATATTCTTGTGGGAAGTGGCCTGCCAGGCCGTTTTTGTGTGGGAGTATTCCTTTTGTGGCATCAAGGCTGGATGCAGCTGTGATGAGGCTTTGTTGTGGTTGGTATTGATAACGATGTTTGCTGACTTGCCTGTGGGTATTTTCATGAGAGCAAATGGGGAGTGTGCCTTGCTGCCTTCCTGAGGGTGGAAGGAGGTGATCCCAGCTTGGTGCTGGCCAAGCAGGAGTATGAAGGCTGAAGAATTTAGGTTGGTTATTAGTATATCAAGATCAAAGCCTGGGGACCTGCTGGTGGCCATGCCTGCTCTCAGCACCATTTGGATTCAGTCATGCTCTGCTGGGGAAGGGGCTGGGATGGGCAGGGCTGCTCTCCAGCTTGGAGCTGTAGGGAGCTGCTCATTCCCTCTCTTTGCTGCTCTGAAGCCTTTGCTCTGCATCCCAGCCTGAAAAGTTAAGGGTGACCCCCTCTTCCTCCTTTTGTGGTCTTGCCTTCCCAGACCTCGGTGGGGTTTGTGCTTGGGTGGTTTTTGTTCTCACTCAAGGCAGCTCTCAGCTGCACTCTCCATTCCCTGCCAAAAGCAGAGTCCCAGCTCCCAGAGGTGGGTTCCTTCCTGGGGCATGAAGAGGAATAAACCAAATACAGTCAGATCCGCTCTGTGACAGCAGGAGCAGATCAAAGGACATTATTTGCATAATGAAGGAGTACTAATTGGGAGGGAAAGTCATTTGATTTCCTAGTGTCTAAGAGGGAATAACAAATGAGAACTGCACAAAATCTCAAAGTAACTGGGAGTGCTTTGCAGCACAGCTGCCCCTTGCTCTGCGCTGGGGCCAGGGCAGTGTGCTTGGGTAGATATCATACGTGCTGCCCAAGACTGTGAGACTGAGGGTGAACTGAAGGCCTCTTTGTTCCAGGATCTTGCCTTGGCAGTGGTCAGAGTGCATTCTTAGGAAGGAGGAGCAGCACACACAGGACATGTGATGCTCCTCTTAATATTCTCCCAGCCAGGATCTGTTTTCAGCTTGGAAATTTCTTTGGCTGTGGGTGGTTTCTGGGGGTTTAGTCAGCTTTAGTATCTGTCTTCCATGAACTCATCATTGTAAACCTCTGCAAAGGGAAAAGAAAAGGGGTTGCTGTTGTTATCTAATGGATCAAAAGTAGCAGAAGCAGGATGGTCAGGAGGATAAGGCTGGAGTCTGGGATTTGTTAAGGGCAGAGGTGGTGCCTGGAGCTAACACCAGCCTATGAGCCAGGTTGGAGAAGTCATTGTTTTCTACACAGGAATATCCTGCATTTGGAAGAAACACATTCAAAATGGGAGCTCACCCTACAGCTTTATCTGGCCTCCCTTGGCACAGCAGAACCAGCTGCAAAACCAGCAATTGGCTTTTCTGGAGAAACCTGATCTGGCCTGGGGCATCAGGAGCAGTAGTGCAGCTGCCATGGGAGGTTTGCTGCCTGGCAGGGAGGGCAGCTGGGGCTGTAGAGGAGTGGAGAGGGCCCTGCTCAGCCCCCTGAGGGAGCTGGGCTGGAGGCAATGCCTTGGAGTGACCCAGGCTGAGGAAGGTGGGGGCTCCTGGAGAGTATTTTCACTGGCTCCCCTGGCCCAGGGCGGTGCATGCCAAGGAGCAGCCTGTGTGTAGGATGGGGCCTGAGCTGCAAATCCTGTTTACAGCTTCACTGCTGTCCTGTCACCTCAGGGAGAAGCTGCTGGTCATGAGCTTGCAGGCTGCTCTGTGCCGGCACCTGAGGCTCAGCCTCTATGGATACCCCACTGTGGATCTCTCCAAAACGTCAGAGTTGAATCCAGTACCAAAAGGAGAGACCTGCAGCTGCAGAAGAATGTAGGATGGGACACAGCCAACTGCTTTGGAACTGCAGGAGCTTCACCTTGTTACAGGAGGTGCTAAAATTAGCTGTATTTTGGGCTTCTTTCCTGATCTCCCTGGGGTCTGCTTAACAGCTGTCTGCTGCACTCAGGCATGAGCCCAAATCCAGCACATGGTGCCTTATGTTAGAAAACTCTGTTGGTTGCACAGGGTGGGTGTTGCAACCCAGAGCTCACTTGGGGTCCTTGGGGAGCAAGCAGGGCCTGGAGTGAGGAGCATGCCAGGAAAGGCATATGCTCTCATCAGAGCATCACTCCTCCCTTGGTGCATTTCACTCTTATTTCTCTGTGTAGCACCATGTCCAGATTAGAGGCGATTTGGCTGTACAGACAGAAACTTGGGGTCAAGCCCTGACTCCAGCACAAAGCTGGCTGAATGCAGAAGTGATTATTGTGAAGAGAAATTGTTTAATCTCCATGCTGGAAGCAGAGAAAAACACTTTGTTTACCATGCAGCCAGAACACTTGCAGGCAATCTGATTTTTTTTCCGCCTTGCTAGAAACGGCTTAAGTCTTTTGTGTGTCTTTTGGAAGCTTCTGGGACAGCAAGTGGCTGGGAGCTGGAGCTTGTCCTGTCTGTTTGTCCTTAGTGAGATGAGTCCTTCCCCTTTGGCACTGCACTCCAGGTCACAAGACAGGCTCCAAACACTGTCCAGCCCAAGCACCACGTTTACCTGCCTCATGCCAGGGGCTGGGGTGCTTTGTGCAGTGGCTTTCTCTGGCCAGACACCTCAAAAGAAGTTTCTTTGCGATTGCACCCTGCCAGGTTACTGGCACTGTCCTTGTGCTTGTCCTGCGAGGACCCCCTTGTGAGAGGGCTGTGCAGTGAATCTCCTCTGGGCCTGGCTTTCTACCAAGTCAGAATGTTCACAAGATTGCAAGAAACTCACTTCTGCTCCAGTAATTTTTTAAGCTCCTGTAGTTCATTTTTTTCCCTGAAGTCCTGCCTGAATGTGTCTGAGGTACATCAGCCTCTGCGGGTGTTTGGGGCCAGACAAGAGCTGTAAATTGCATTGTTTATAAAATCCCACCTGCCTCCTGCCCCGTGGCACCCAGGCACCTGGGATGGGAGTGCTGCATGCTGGCATCAGGCCAGGGAATGTGGCTTTGAATGACACAGCACTCCTTGCAGGGTCCCTGATGTTTTGCAGGGCTAAAGTGCCCAAGTGCTGTCCTGCAGCTGGCCAGATCCACACAGAAAGGGGTCTCAGCATGGCCAGAAAATGTCCCTGGTCTCTGCCTGAGCTGAAGGTGGCAACTGAGCCCCAGAGCTGGTCTCACCAGTTTCACCACAGAAGGGTGACTGCTGCCATGAGGAGGGACAGTCAGATTTAGCAAGTGTTGGTTTTTCCTGCTGCTCATGTGCCTCTTTGCCTGCCCAGAGCCTGGCTGTACTTCTGTCCCTGGGGAAGGGACAGGGCCCAGTCACTTGCTTGTGGATTCAGGGCAGGGCTTCTCTGCTCGTGGATCTGTTTGGAGTTTGCCTGTCAACATTTCTTTCAGCTAAACGTGTTTGGAGTGAGTGGCATAGCAAGTGGTCTGGAGCTATCAGTCTTCCTCATGCAGGGTCGCTGGGACTGGCCTCAGAGGCTCTGGGGCCTGTGGGAAGGCAGTCATGGGTGCCAGGACAGGCCTGCTTTGGTATTCCAAAGGTGGCCTGGGAGCCCCATCCATGCCATCCAGGGCACCGGGCTGAGCTGCTGTGCCCTGGCAGCCCTGGGGACACTCAGCACGGCAGGGTGGCAGTGGGGGCTGAGCTCTGCGCTCACGGGCAGGGGCCCTGCGGAGACACGGCTGCGGCACCCCGCAGCTCCCGGGGCATGGCGGGCACCGCTCGGGGTGCTGCCCCTCGCTGCCCTGCTCACCCTGCTGACAGCACAGAGGGGATGCTGCTGGCAGAGCTGAGCGCTGGCTGCTGTCCCTGGCAGGTCTCCAGGATGGCTCAGGGTGTGGAATGGGGACAGCCCAAGAAGGGCCTGTGGGGACAGAGGCTGGCGGGCAGCCAGAAACAGCTAGGCTGAGGGAAGTATTGCTCTGGAAGTGAGGGTCTTCCTCCTCCTTTCTTCTGGAAAAGGAGAATCAAATCAGATCAAATCAGGTTTTGTTTGATCTGCTGTGCCAGATCTCACCTTTGCAGAGGGAGAATAAGAGATGGATTCTGACCTGTTAATTTTTATGTAAAATTGTTGGTTTCCTCTGATCTGTGGAGTGAGCTTGTCGGGGGTGGGACCAAGGTCTTATCTTATTTTGCATGTCTAATTATCTCTCTGGATACGGGCTCAGGCTTCTTAGTTATGGGAGGCGGGTGATAGAGTACATGATGGATGTTTAGATTTTATTTAGTGTATCTTTTATGGCTAAGGCATGTGCCAGAAAACTAAATAAAAGCTGTACATGCTGTACTTGCTGTGGGCAGTGCTGTGCTTGGAGAGCAGGGACTAATATTGGAGCAGGGTGGGAGCCAGGGAAAGCTTGTCTGCAGGAAGGAGGGGACCAGGTTAAGCTGAAATTGAATACCATTGCTCTTCACATGGAAAGAGAGTGGGAGGGAGGGGCGGGAAAGGGATAAGTGGAGGTTAGGGGAGGATGCTGGAAAGTTGAACTAGTGAATTCCTGATACCCTTTAGGTGACCTTGAGCAGGCTGCAGTGCGCCTTCACAGACAAGAAGTCAAGGCACAAAGTGGGGCCAGTGTTCCCTACCTGGCTGATGTTGCTCTTTTGTTAATGAGATGCTGTGAGAGTAGGTGGGGAAGGGCAAAGCCTTCATCACCTCTGGCATTGCAGCCCAAGGGCACTGTGCCCCATCTCTGCCTCTGAGTGAAGGTGGCTTGCTGCAATGCTCCTCGTGCTCCTTGGTTTCCCTTGCCTTAGAGCAGAAAACTCTGGTCCCAAACATGGAGCTCACCCCTGGGATCTGGAGGTGGATCTGCTGCCCTGTTGCCCAGTTCTTGGGAGTGCCCAGCAGCTGTGGGCCAGGAGCTCTCAGTGCTGGCACAGGAAGCCTGAGAGCAGCAGCCCACCTCACCTGTCCAAGGCACGTCTTAAAATGGTAACACGAACCGTGCTCTGGGTGGGCTCAGGTCCTGCCTCCTTTTCAGACTCTGCAGTTTTGCAGCATTCAGGTAAATACTGGAACACAGGGAGTACAGCTGTGTCTGACAGGGATGGATTAGGAGGTCAGTTATGCAATGGAGTGAATGCATCTTGGGGGAAGCAGCATGAGATGCAGACTCTGGTGCAAATGTTTAGTGGCCACCCTGCCTCTAATGATCCCTGGGTTGGGATGACTGCTCAAAGATGGCAGGAACAGCAGGCTGTGGTGTGCTCCTCGGGGCACCTGCTCTGTGTGCAAATGTGCAGTCCTGACACAGGGTATACAGGGCAAGGCCAGGGAAATAACTGATGGGCTTGGGTACCTGTGGGTGAGTTTTGAATCTCCTCAGCAGGAACAAGTGGTTTCTGGAGCGTGGGATGTCTGTGCGAAGTCAGCAGGCTCTGCCTGTGCTGCAGGTGCAGAGTGGGTGCTGCTGTGGACACCAGGCTTCAGCTGATTGCTGCCAGGCTGTGCAGAGGGAGTTCTCTCTTGTTCCCAAGGGCAGGTACTGCTTTCTGTGATTCTCAGACTTTGGCACCTCCAGCATCCCTAGCAGGCTTCTCTACTGAAGCTGGGAGAAGGATGCTTGGAGACCCTCGTGTCATTTCCCTTCTCTGGTCCCTTTTTTTGCTTTCTGATCAAAAACTTCCCAAGGGAATGTGCCAGGATGCCCGAGGGAATGTTCAGTGCTGGTGTGGGGGTGATCTGCCTTGGCTCATACCTGCTTGAAGGAGTTGTGTTATGGCAGGGAGAGGAGGAGGAAATGCAGCAATAGTATTTCTTAAACAGTTGTTTGCAAGGCAGAGAGCCAGTGTTGCCGTGGTGTAAAATCTGGACGTGCCTGGCAGGGATGCACCATAACTTCACTGGAGACAGCAAAGCATAAATAAGTTGACTCAAACTAGCTTGTTGCTGAAGACTGATGAGGGGGATTCTCCTGTTATCAGCAGAGCTGCAGCTCTGAGAAGGCTGCTAGGGAGAATGAAAAGCAACCATGGTAACTGCTCGTTTCCCTCCGTGAACACCCTTTCCAGGAGATCAGAGTGAACTGGACTGGGGGGAACGTGTGCATCCCAGCTGCTCACAGCAGCACTGCTCTCTGTGCTGCCTCATCTCGTGCCTGAGTCCAGGCAGGGCTGGTGCAAGAAATCCCTGGCTTGCCTGCAGGCTCTGGGCTTGTGGTCTCCTGAAAAAGGAGGAGGAAGGCACCAGGGACTGAAGCTGCTCATCCCCTTCTGGATGGTTTCAGCTCCATATCTGGCTGCTGTGACATAGGAACAGAGGCTGCTTCTGACTGACTGGTGCCAGTGCTTGACCTCTGGGCAGGGATGCACCAAGTGTGGTGCTGGACTTGAAACAGGGTAGCCTGTCTTCACAGTGCTTTGGTCACACCACCTCCTTTCTCAAGGTGTCTGTAGGTAGGGGTAGGCTTACCTTCCTTCCTTGCTTCCTCCCTCCCTTCTGTTGTCTCTGTAGATCTCAGCCCCTTTGCTTCTGCCCCCACCCTCATGTCCTGTGTCCTGCTTTTGTTAAATTGAACATGATGTCAAATTAAAGCCATCACAGGGACAGTTGGAGTGAAGTACCCAGTTTAATGAGGCAGCCTTGAAAATCAATAACTTAATTGCAGACATTTGATGGACTTTCATCCAATTTATAGTCCTCCTGCCCTGCTACGTGTAGAGCATGAGTACCTGGTGCTATGTCTGGCTCTGGGCAAGTGAAAGCCTTTCCTCTCCTCGGGATGTTGTCCCTGTTCAGTTCTGCTTGCTGCAGCATGGATCAGGCCCCAGCTGGGTGGTCACTCTGTGGTCTGGAGGTGACCATGTCACTGTGTGCTGACAGGAAGGGCAGGTGTGAGCATGACATCCCCAGCTCCTTCCCAGATGGTCCAGTTGAAGGCTACTGAGAGAAAAGCTCCCAGCTGTTCAGACCAGTCATCTCCTGGAGCGTAGGTCCTGCCCCAGGATGGCCCAGGATCATGTCCCTGCTGCCACTGTGCAGCACACCAGAGGCATTTGCAGCAGTGTCTGCAATCCTGGCTTTCAGGCTTTTGGTGGGGTGGTGATGCTGCATTTGCACCCAGCTGTTCCTTTCCCTCATCACTTGCAAGCAATCAGTGTTGGGCCCTGAGCTGAGGTCTGTGTTGCTCTTCTAAACTCCTGACCTTCTGTTTTCCTCCTTGTCCCTGCTGCAGGCACCTCTGTGATGCAGGTGATGGCCTCCGATGCCGACGACCCCACCTACGGGAGCAGTGCCCGGGTAGTCTACAGTGTGCTGGAGGGGGAGCAGCACTTCACTGTGGACAGCAAAACAGGTGAGCAGCACCCAGCTGGGCTGGGCCAGGAGACCCAACAGTTGGCTGTGTGTCCTGGGCACGAGTATGAGCCAGCAGATCTGTGCCTCCCTGCTGGCCACTGATGCTGGATACTCCTGGCAGGGGTGCTGGAGAGGAAGCTCAGCAGTCTTGTTCAGGCTGCTGCCCAGCTCCATGCCCTGCCTGCAGGCAGCATCTGCAGCTGCCAGCCCAGAGTGCCTGGTCTGCACCTGGTCTGGCCAGAGCTCCTCTCTGCCTGGAGCTGGAATGCCCCCACAGGCACATAAAACTTCAGTGTAGAAGGTTTAAATACTACCAAAGGGGCCTTACCAAAGGCTGCATCATTATCACCAGGGCTTTGATTAAAAGTAACACTTTAAATTAAGGATAGGTTTATAAATGTTCTATTAATATTTAATGAAAGAACAGTAGAAGCTGCTCCATTCCTTAATAACTTATAATAGAGCCTGTTGTAAAATGCCTCTGTAATAAATCCGTGGCAGATGATGCTCTGACATACTGGTTAGAGTAGACCATAACCAGGAGATGTTGGGGTATATATTCTCCTTGCCTCCCAGGAGTTTGACTCTCATTACCCTTAATGGGAGCCTCACAAGCTTGCTAAGGAGGGAAGACACTCAAATGCTAATAAGTGATATTTAAGGCACAAAGCATGCAGTAAAGTGCCCATAGTTTAATGAAAATTTGTCAAATGACAAGCAGGCTGAGAAGCTGCAGCTTGTGTTGGAAAACTGGACAGCAAAGTCTTCCCCACCCTATTGCTGAACTGCAGTGGCATGGACTGAGATCAGCCCCTGGGTTGAAGTACCAAGTCTCTGTCAGGCTGATCTGTGTCTGTGCTGATAGATATTTTCTAAGGCTGTTTCTGTGTAAGTCAGAGTTAAATTTGTTTGGAGATGCTGGTGTAAGGAGAGTGTAAAAGAAGGTCTGTGTGCCTGAGCCTCTGCATCTGCAAGAAACCCTGCACGTTGTGACAATGCTCTGGTACACATGGGGAAGGTGGTCCCAGCCCTGGCTCTGCCACCAGCCTGGCTGCTGCTGGAGAAACACTCAGATTTGGAGTTTGGGAGCTCCTACACACACCTGACATCAGCACTATGGCATGTGGTGGGAAATGCCTTTTTCTGGACTGAGGCTGGTGCAGTGGGGAGAGGGCACAAGCAGCAGGTTGGGGCTGTACCCACCCCTTGCTCAGGAGCTGTTGCACCTGGGCTCTCTTCTCTCCCAGATTTGCTTTGTTTTATAATGTGTGTGTAGGAACAATAGGCTAAACACTGAAAATTCAGGTGCACATGAGATCCTGTTAATCTGAGACAGCTTTGTGCGAGTGGAAGTCTGGCTGCTAGAATGGAGAGGGACCACTGGGAGCAAACTGCACAAGCCAGGACGTGCAGAGGCTCAGCTTCCTGCCACATTAATGTTCTGTATTAAGGCATAAACTAAAATGTGCCCTGTGGGACTGTGGTGAAAATTAATGTCACTCTGGGAATCCAAGCTTCTTGATTCCTTGACTTTCTGTATCTTAATTCTCAAGCTGGCTGTTTCCTACACTGGGGGGTTGATTTACTGTTTTACTTGCTTGTGTTTCATAAAGGCAAAATCGCTGACAGTCTGCAGAAGACTCCGGCCCCTCTTGAGCACGTCTGTTTCCAGGATATCTGGCTGCTAACACAGGTGTTGGGGCTGACTCTGGTGGTGTCTGAGCTGCAAATGGCCTGTGGCAGCTTCCTCACCAGCACTGCAGGAACTGCAGGGCTGCAGCTCTGCCCATCAGTCACTCAAGTTATGGCTGCAGCCTGTCCTGTGCCCCTCTGTCAGCGCTGGCCCATGTGGATGCAGCAGTGCTGCGGGGGCACATGGTGTCATCATATCCATCCAAGCACACCCCAACCTGTTCCCACTCTTATTTTGTTAGAATAAGTCTTTATGCTGCACAGGGGAATCCAGGTCTGATAGCCTGGGGTGGCCCCGCTTCTGCCCTGAGCATAAGATTTAATTATCCATAGCAGCAGCGTAGCTCTCAGAGCCACCATTGTTATTAATGGCCATAAAAAGAACCATAAAAACCTGGCATGTTACATTTCTTATAATATATGATAATGAAGAACAATTTGATTTCCCTTTTTGGTTTTGACCTCCTTCTCTGCCATTTCTTGCAAGTCCATGCGTGCATGTGCTGCCTTGCACACAACCTCAGCCCCCGACTCCTTCCAGCACAGGTTCTTTCTTCCCTCCTTGCCTTGTGCTCTTTTCACACCCTCCTTCATAGCACAAGTGTGGCATGTACAAAAGTGGTTTCCATGCTTGAGTACAGAACATGGACCATGTGCAGCTGGCTTTGTCTCCTGTTCTTGGATGTTACCAGCTGTAGTGTTCAGCTGGGATTTCGTATTCAATGGACCTTTCACAGGCAGACCCAAACTGTCTGGATGCTGTGCTGTGCCAAGTCCTGCCACTCAGTAAGCCCTGAATGCCTGCAGCATCTCGGGTCTTTTTGGAGGGAGACAAGCATCTAAATGGCTCCACTGGAATACAGGGAGCTGCAGGATGGCATTTTTGCTGTAGGAAGATTCCAGAATTGAATGATGGTGAAGAGAAAGCACAGCTGATACACATGAGCTTTTCTTTCTTCCATATACACCAGCCACTCTCATGCTTTGAGATTAGTTTCACAGACTGAAACTTGTGTTGTGTACACCAAATCAGGTTCAAGAACTTCACCTGTGTGTGCTGAAGGTCTAGGCTGGCTTTTTTCACATGAGTGGGGAGCTTTGTATGCGTAAGCTTTTGAGGCAAGGTTTTCTTGCCAACTGTAAGAATATCCCCGTGGCTTGTTGCAAGAGCCTGCAGGCATTAAGCTTTGTAAGCTTTGTGCTGCCTTCCTCACTGAGACAGGGTGCAGCCAATCTTTGCTCCTTGCAGCAGGTGAGCAGCAGTGCCTGTGCTGTGGCTGCCCTGATCTCCTGAGGAGGCTGTGCTCTCGTGGTGACCAGCACACAGCTCTGCCCTGCTGCTTCCAGTGGGAAACAGCCTCTTCTGCTGCTGTGGTGGGTGTTGGCTCTAGGTGAGAGCACTAATCTGACAGCAGAATCCCTCTCGCTGCTGCTGGGCCACAAGCCCAGCTCTGCCCAGAGTTACACAGGGTGGGAGGTGTAGTGGCAGCTCCTGTCCCAGCTCCAGGAATCTCATCCTCACTAAAATCTTTCAAGCTTATGCTTTTCCAATATGGAGATGTGCACCTGAGTGTGGGCACTCTCAGTGCATTTACATGAGAGGAGAAATCTCTGCATTTCAATCCTCATGCTGTGTTTTCATGCTGCTTTAGATCACCCTGCATTCTCTGTACCACTGCAGATTATTCACCTTTATAGGGGCAAATCTCTCTTTTGGCAGGCAGCTGTGATTGCCTGCTCATGTCTGTTCCCGTGTCCTTTCCAGTGCCCTTTCTTATCCCTGGGCAGTGTGGCTGGAGACTCACTGCTGCCTGTGATCCCTTGCACACAGCCTTCCTTGGGAGGGAACCTGAAACACCCCACAACCTGGTGCCCCTGTTTCCAGCAGTCTTGTTCATCTCTTTTCAGGGATATTGAGTGCTATAGAGCAACCAGAGCATGTAACACCATAGGTTTTGTGATGTTTGATGCTTTCCTTGAAAGCTAGCTTGTCAGTTTGGGGCTGTGCATGGGAACCTGGCTTTTTACCGTGAGGAAGAAGCTCTTCTTCAAAACTGTCACTCAGCTGAATGCAGAGAAAAGGCAGAAGAACTCAGAAAGTATTTGAAATGCAGTCTGGCATTTGTGATGACTTAAACCAGCTCCTGAGTTCTAGAGCCTGTGTCCTGATTTAAAGACTAAGCTGGTAAGAACTTGGAGCTTTTTATGCCAAGGAGAATGGAGATACCAGCCTGCTGGGATGAAGCTGATGGTTATTTGTGTGCAGTCCTTAGTTGTTTCATCCCTGCCTGCCAGCCTTGCAGTGTTTGGAGACAGACCACAGCCCTGGTCCTGGGGCAGCAAGGCTGGACTGGGAGAGGAGCTGTGTCTGGGAGCCTGCTGCACACTGAGCTGGGCTGATGAGCTGTTGATCTGTGTGATGTGGTGGTGGGAGGCAGAACACGTTTCTCTGCTGCTCTTGCCAGTTTGTTAAAAATGCTCCTTGGTGCCTGGAAACACAGATGTATCAGAATGTGTGTGTTCCTGTGTTCCCAGGGGGTTGTGCAGGTCTGTTCCCTCATCCCTGTCTCTTATCCACCAGAGCTGTCCAAAGGCACAAGAGAGGCTAAGGCACAAGAGTCTGCAGAGAAGCCACATTTCTGTTAGGGGATTCCTCTTGTTAGCGAGATTGAGCATTAACAGCTCTTTTCTGAGACTGGTACAGGAACTTCAGCTGATTTGGGACCAAACTGTATGTTTGGTCATCTTGAGGAAATTAGAGTGTATCTACTAAAGTGCCAAGGGAATTAATGTTAAGTGGTGAGGGACTCAGCTGCTAAAAGAAGGGACAAAGCTAGGGTGAGTGTGCTCTCTGCACATGTCTCTGGCACGGGCAAGGCTGATTGCAGCCTGGAACAAGCCCTTGTTAGGTGCTCCATGAACCTCCTGACCCTTTGTGCCTCATTCTTCACTCAGAGCACCTTTAGCTTCTGCCTCTCAAATTGTGCTGAGCTGAAGTACAGGATGTGGGGCTGGAGGGTGACTGAAGTGCTGGCTCTTGGGGCCAAGACCTCTTCTGCAGGGGCTGACCTCCTCCAGGATGTGTGCTTCCAGCAGGACTCGTGTCTTGGCAGATATACTGGTATTTCTGTGTCCCTGCAGGCAGGTGAGGGCACAGGTGAGGAATCTGCAGTCTGTTTGGCAGGTGCCTTGCTATTCCTGGCCTGAGGCAGAGATGGGTTTGATCTAACTGACCAGGCTGCTGGCAGAAATTAATCTGTTTTATCCAGCTAAATAGGAGAGGGATAGAGGAGACAGACCCAGTTTCTTCTCAGGCATGCACAGTAAAAAGACCCAAATGGCAGGAAGACAGGGCTTGTCACCATGGTGGTGGCACTTCCATCCCTGGAGATACTAAAAACTTGACTCTTTATGGCTTAGGGTAATCTAATCTGCCTTTGAAGATGCCTGCTTTGAGCTCTAGATGGATCAGGAACCTCTAGGATAGGTCCCTGTTTGTTACTCCATGACTTTCTGGCTTATTGCTCCTCCTACCCTCAGCTGGAAAGTGCCTTGTCCAGACAGTCTCTGAGGATATGGACATCTGACCCAGCAGAGCAAAGCCCATAATGATGGGATTCCTGGAAGGCAGCTACCTGCTGAGTGCTTTGTCCTGCTTTTTTATCACCCAAAGAGAGTCTGCCTTTGGAGCAGATTCAGTGGTATTTATGTGATGCTGTAAGTGTCCCCTTGCCTGGTAATTATACTGATTAATCTGGATCATGCTGGAAAGCCACATGTGCCTTGTACCAGAGGGTATGCCACCATGTGTCCACATTATTCAGCTATAACAGATACTGACAAGAGCGGGGGAGACAAGTCTGAGCTCGAGGTTGTTCTTGCTTTGTTAGCAGTGTCTGGGAAAGACAAAGTTTGTCAGTTTTTCCAGCTGGAAAGAAGGTGAATCTTGGGAGATAATAGCAATGACTTTTCTGTGCTCTCTGTACAGCCTTGAGGAAGGTCTGTCTCAATCCCTTGCAGCTTCTTTGCAGAGTCCCTGGGGGTCAGGTTTTGGGAGTAGAGACTATCTTGGCTCTGAAAGATGGGTCCATGTAAGTTTGCAGCTGGTGGATGTTTAAGGCAGCGCCCTTAGTGCCACATGGATGTGGAGCATGTGTGGAGACCCTCATTGGCCACGGCCATTCGCAAATGGTGAGTGGTACCTCGGCCTGGAAGACAAAAGCAGCCTTACTCTTGGGCTGGTGGCCTGATGTGGCCTGTGCATTTTGGGAACAGCGTGCCAGTGACAGTCCTGATGGGGCTCCTGGAGGTCTGGCAGTCTGTCTGCAGCAGATCCCCACCTTTGCAGGATGGACTGGACACACAACACCATGAGAGGGAGTTTCTGATCAGTCTCCACCCCTGCCACAGGTAGAGATTTTGTCTGCCTTGTGCTGCTGGAAGAACAGGAGCTGGCTGGGGACATTTGTCCTACTCTGCATGTGCCAAATGGCCTGGACTTGCTCCCTGTTGGGACAAGTGACCTTGGAGGTGTTCCGGGAAGTGCCTGAGCACTTTCCTCCCATCTTGCATGGCATATTATGAGCTATATCATTACGAGCAGCTCAGTTAAGTCATTACAGCCTTGGTGAATGCATGAGCTTTTTTCCTCTCATCCCAATTCATCACTATTGTGCTGACATGAATCATTTTCATTATAAAATGCTTCAGACCCCGTTAATTAACAGAATTGCTTAAATTTCAATGAGATAGTGCTTGCCCAGAAATAGCAGTTTTGTATTCACAGTGGAGTGGCAGGAGAGGCCTGTCAGCATGAGCTGCTGGGGCTGCTCCCTGAGTCCTGGGTGTTTGTGCAGGGCTGGCCCTGCTGCCCACATGGGAGGGTGCCATCCTTGCTGGGATGGGTGCCCACAGACACGTTCTTGCCTCCCTTTCCTGCATTCCCTCTGCCTCTGGTGGGATTCCTTGCTGAGTGGCTTCCTCTGAGCAGAGCCAGGATGAATGAGGGCATCAGAGCAGACCCTGGGCCCCATCACAGGGTAATCTCCTGCTCCCTTATCCATGGGGCTGAAGGCAGGAGAGTGCAGGTAATTACAGAACCTGAAGTGACAGATGGACAAGGGAAGCTGGGTGCTAATTGTGCCTATCCATGAGAGCTGGAGAATGGCAACGATCTGAAATGGTGGTTATGTCTTTATAATAAATCAAAACAATGCTAATCATTGGAATAATTGCTAGTTTCTGAGAGGAAGGAATGATAAATGTCTCCTGAACAGTTTTGCCAGCTCCTGCTGCACCTGTAATGTCATGCAAAGGGCGAGGGGGAGGAATTTCATCCTCCCAGCTCCGTGGCATTTCTGGCTGCCTTTGGGCCACAGCGCCAGTGGCTCCATGGTGTGAGCCCTTGTCTGGAGGTGCACAGTGCCACACCAGACACGTGAACAGGGAAACTGGAAACCTGCTGGCCTTGGAGTGCAGATGCCTGGTAGCCTTGGGGCTATCCCTGTAGCCATTTCTTGGCTCCTTGCAGCCTGCTGGAACTCAGCTCCCCCTGTGCTGTGCTCTTGGTGACTTGGAGCCTTGATGCTCTACCACTGCTTGATGTGCTGTACGTCCAGCTAATGGATTGCAAGGTGCTCAGACCACTGGGTGATTCTCTGCTTTTTGCTCAGCAAGAAGGGAGCTCCCTGTTCCCCCTGGGTCACACCCCTCACTGGAGACCCATTCCAGCAGCCTCCTCCAGTACTGTCCCTAGCACTGGGCAGGATTGCTGGTGAAACAAAGCAGAGATGAATTTGCAGTTCACAGCAGGAGGAGGTAAAGCTGATAGTTAAACAGAAAACCCTGGAAGAGAGAGGATTTACAAAAGCATAAACCAATGTCTAAATCTGTGGGAATGTTAAAAAGCTGAGCAGGAGGGATTCTAAGCTGATTCCTGTGTGTTATGGGATGCTACTGGTACAGTGGGACTGGAGTGTGGTGCTAATGACCTTGTATCCATGTAGGCACTCCTTCCTTCCTGACCCTGGTGCCACGTCAGGGCAGAGTAGTTTCTTTCTTTCTTTCTTTCATCCTCAAAATTTTTCTTCCCTACTTTGTTTCCCTGTAAATTAAACAGTTGTGGGTAACTGGTAATTTCTGCATTTCACAGAGGTTTCAGGCTTTTACTGCTCTTTGTTTCTTGTTTTACAAACCTTGATATTTTAGTCCTGGTCATTTCCCCAATCCCAGATGAATACTGGAGACCTATAAACATTGCTTTTAAGAGACTTACTTTTGTAAGAAGTACTACCATACCATTCATTTTGTTAAGCTCCAGTGCATTCTCTGACACAGAGCATGTGTTTTGTTGTCTCTTGTCTCCTTAACTTAGAAGGACATTTGAAAACGAGGGGTTTTGTGCTGACAGACTTTTAGAAACGTGCTTCCCCCATTCTCCAAATCACACAAGTCCCCCCGAGATGTGCCTGGTAGATGGAGCCTGGGCAGGGGCACCCCTGTTCTGTGAGGGGTTCTGCAGCAAGCCTGACCTCTCTCAGCAGATCAGGATAAGTGGGCTGTTGCAGATCTGTGCCAGAGGGGTTTTGTGACTCAGCCTGGGTTTTTACAGAGTGGACCTTGAGGCTGGCCCCAGCACAGCCTCTGCATTTGGATGGGGGTGAGGATGAGTCCTCTCTTCCTGTGACTCCTGCCCCCACCAATCCTCTGAGCAGATCTTTCACCCACCTCACGGTCACCCTCAAAGCACAAACCTCCTCTGTGCCAGGGTTTAACCCAGTGGGAGCTGCAAGTAGCCCACAGGAAAAGCAGCAGTTGGGACTCTTTCACGCTTCATGAGGAGACTTGCTGGGAGCAGGTTGGGCCTGTGGCCATTCCTGGGCTTCAGGAGGATTTTTGGGATGTTTCTGGCTGGCTGACAACCCCCTGGGCTTGTTCTTCTCCCCAGTGGCCTTGTCTCCCCTTAGTTGGCTTATGCTGATGTGACCTCTTGCAGAGGGGTGGAACAGATACTCTTTGTGGCCAGCAGTGAGTTCCTGTGGCAGAGGCAGCCAGCAGAACCAGGGCTGTGCTTGGGGAGAGTGTCCCCAGCAGTCAGGGGAGGTGACAGTCCCTTCTACTGTGCACTGCTGAGATGCAAGTGCCGTATCTGACACCAAATATGATTCTGTGGACATACCAGAATGAGTCCAGGGAAGGGCCATGAAAGTTGGTGAAATCCTGGAGCAACTGCCCTGTGTGAAGAGGGAGATTCAGCTGATCCTCTTTAGGTCTGGATCTTGTCCAAAGAAATCTCCAGTGACCCCTTCCAGCCTCACCCTGTCTGTGGCTCTGTGACCTGCCTGTGCTCAGCTGTCCTGCTGGTTTCCAGGTGTGATCCGGACAGCCGTGGCAGACCTGGACCGCGAGACACAGGACCGCTATGAGGTGGTGATCCGTGCAACAGACATGGCAGGACAGCTGGGTGGCCTGTCTGGCTCCACCACGGTCACCATCGTGGTCACTGATGTCAACGACAACCCACCACGCTTCCCTCAGAGTAAGTCCTGCTGGCCGTGGGGGTGGGCCCTGGAGCATGTCCTGGTTCCCTGTGGGTGGTGGGATGGAACCTACAGGCTGAGCCAGCCTGGCCACTCCAGCTGCTGGCAGGGTGACAATACCAAAGGGCAATGGCAGCTCCTGGCCTGGGTGTGAATGTGTCCCTGCCTGGCAGCACAGTGGGTGCCAGATCCCTGCTCCAGTGCAGGTCCTGGAAGCAGGCATGGCTTGTGTGATAGAAGAGCCCTTTCCTGAGCTCTTCCAAGCAGCTGGAAGCCAGCAAGGTCCACCATGCTGCTGTCCCCTCTGGGAGCTCGGGCTGGAACTTGGCTGCTGGCCTGGCCCCTCCTGGCTGCTGTGTGAGCATGTGAAAGTGCAAGGACAGCGACACTGCTGAGGGACAGCAGCCTTGTCACAGCACAGCTCTGTTTTCCAACTTGCTGCTAATGGCCTGTGGCTGGTGCTGGTGTCTGGTCTGGGACCCTCCCCAGGCAAGGTGTAGGTTGATCCTGCTGCAAGGAGTGGGCTGTGAGGGCTCTGCCGTGCACTTCAGCTGTGGCCTGGCCTCTCCAAGCTGGCAGGCCAGGGAAGGGGCTGCAGCTGGAGGAGGCTCAGCTCTTGGGCTGCATCTCCTAGAAATCAGAAATTGCAAAGGAATCTTTGCAAGGAATCAGAGAGCACTGATTGCAGGGCAGTGTCCATGCAGAGAAATCAGCCCTTACTTCACATAGCACCTGGAATGTCAGTGCTCCCCAGTTATCTTCCCTCAGCCCGTGTTTTTGGCTGGTGTATTTACTTCTTTTGTTGGGGCATTCTGGACTGTGGACACAGTGGGGTTTGAGCAACCCTCACAGCCCAAAGGTGCCCCAGGGAAGTTTGTGAAGGCTGGGGCTGGTTCAAAGGCAGAAGTGACCCTGGTACCCATTTCTCCTCCAGAGATGTATCAGTTCAGCATTGTTGAGACGGCCCCCGTGGGCACTGCCATCGGGAGGGTGAAGGCAGAGGACTCTGACGTCGGAGAGAACACGGACATGACATATCAAGTGAAGGATGAGGAGGGGGTGGAGATGTTCAAAGTCACCACGGACAGCAATACCCAAGAGGCTGTCATCACGGTACAGAAGGTGAGAAGTCTTGATTGAGTAGGGAGGGCACAGGTCCCTAGGAGGACCCTTTCCTTTGGGGACTGCTGCTGTTGAATCTGAATTGAAGAAAATGCTCTGAGTGCTGCTCTAGCAGCAGCAGTTGCTTTTTTATGCCTGCTGATGCAGGGAGAGACCTGTCTCTGCTCTGCCTGCATGGCAAAACACAGGGCTGTGTCTGGGAGGAAAGACTGAGAAGGAGCAGCACAGAGTGCCTGCTGGAGTCCCCCAGGGTGGCTTGGGGTGGCAGGGAAGCAGTGAGCTGTGCAGAGGAGACACCATGCATAGCACTATAAAGAGGAATGCTTACAGCTGTTATTGATAGCGCCTGTTAGAGGAGAAAAATGCCCACCTAATTCCTGTACCTGACCAGAAGCACTTTAACTATATCTGCTTTTGGTGGCAAAAACAATCAAGCAAATACTTGGTGCAGGCAGAAAAGAATGATTGTTCTTCAAGGCCACTGTATGCAGCTTGCCTCCCTTGTAGAAATAAGAGTGGGGTGATTAATGATGAAAACTCGCTCATGTGCAGCACACACTGTGCTGTCTTCCCAGTGAATCCTGGCTGCTCACAGCCCAGGCACCCTGTTAGGGGCCCTGAGGGGAGTGGGCTGAAGGTTTCTGCTTCCTCCTGCCCCCTTGGTTTGGGTGCTGCTGGCAGAAGGACAAAGCAAAAGCTCCCAGGCTGCTACAAGGGCACTGCTTGAGAGCAGGTGGCTTTAGTGGCTCTAGTGCTGCCCTGATGTCTCTGGTGAAGGAAGGGGCAGCAGAGGGGCTCCTTGGGCTGGCTGTGGCTTACCCTCTTCCCTTGTCCCAGCCTCTTGACTACGAGTCAAAAAGAGTGCACACTGTCGTGGTGGAGGCCCTCAACAAGTTCGTGGACCCGCGGTTCGTGGACCTGGGCACCTTTCGGGACCAGACCATTGTTCGAGTCTCAGTGCTGGACGTCGATGAGCCCCCCGAGTTCCGGCCCCCCTCCAACCTGATGGAGGTCCAGGAGGATGCACATGTTGGATCTATCGTGGGGGTGGTCACTGCCCTGGACCCGGACACAGCAAACCACCCTGTCCGGTAAAGCAGCCGTCCAAACCTGACATCATCCCCCTTCCAGCAGTGGGCACGGGGTCATCTGCAAGGGACATGTGGCCTGGGAGGGCTTGTGGCCATGGCAGGGACAGAGGAGGTGGGACAGTGCAGGTAAAAGTGGCAAGTGCTGCATGTGTGTGTGTCTCGTGGGACAGGCAGCTGGCAGGTGAGTGGCAGCCTGCACACGAGCAAGCGCAGCGGTCTCTCGGTGGCAGATACGTCACTGGCAGGTGATGGCTTTGTGAGTGCAAGGGAGTGTCAGGGAAGGTGCCTGGGTGATGCCTGTGTGTCCTTGCTGCTGACAGCAAGGTATCTGCAGTGGTACCTGACACAGGCTAGACACCAGGAGTGGCAGGAGGACAGTGGTGAAGGGTGATAAATGAGGTGAGGCTTGGGAGGTGCAGAGCCACAGCCTGTCTGTGTGTGCGTGCATGTGTGCATAGGATCAAAGATCAGAGGAGTTTATATTTGGGCAGGGGACATAATCCAGGCAGCAGCTTATCTGCACAGGACATTTCCCATTTCCATTTAATTTGTGGCTAAAGAGATTGTTACCTTGTTAAATTGTTATTACCTAAGGCACAAAGCAGCCTTCTGCCCCTGCCAACTGGCCTGAGTCATGAGCAGTTGGGTTGAAAATCTGGTGTTCAGAAAACATCCTCAATGTGTGGAAAATTTCCTTGAAATGTGTGTTCTGGTGCCAGGTGCCGGCGGGGCTGCAGGCGCCCGTGGAGCCGGCTCACTTCCAGGGAGCAGCACTGGCTTTGGCTGAGAGCTCTGCAGGGAGTCAGCCCCACAGCAACAGACTGGGAAGGACAGGGATAGGGATGTGGGGTGGAGGGGGACAGGCCAGAGAGGGCTTGGTTACAGCACGTGGTTGCATTCAGTGATGTCCTCCAATGCCCGTTTGGGGCACCCTGCTCAGTGCTGTGCAGCCATGGGTTTCTGTTTTGTGGTGGGGTGAGGAGATCTCCTGATCCTCATGGAAACAAACACTGTGATGGTTAGAAAGCTCAGAAATGCATTTACACATGGAAAGCTGCCATCTACAGATGCCTGGCAGCTAGCAGAGAGTACTGTGTCACAAAGCTGGATGCTCAGAGTTGACTTGGGGGGGAATGTGAATGAAATCAGCCTTGGTGTGCCAGGAACTGTGTATGTGAGTGCTGCACCGCTTGCACTAGTGGGTGCTGAATGTGTTCTCAACATCTGCTCACGTTGTCCTGTGACTCTTCAGTCCCTCTCCAGTCAGGCTACCTGTCTGATTTCTTTCTTTGTTGCCCTTGAGCACATATCTGCCAGGGAGACAGACAGGAGAGTGGTGTGTCCACGTACCTGTGTGTGTGCACAGGTGCATGTGCTTTTTCACTTTACTGTTTCCAGCAGTGCTGCAGAACAAAGATTTTATTTTCTGATCTGTAATTGTAGAAAAGGGACCTTGGGGACAGAAGGGACAGAACTATTCTTTTTCTTGTTTTTTCTTGTTCTTTGTGCTGCTTCCCTGTGGAGCTTGCTGCACTGTTTGCATACAGACCAAAAAGAAAGCAGTGGAGGGAGTCTCTTCATGCTGTACAGAAGGTGATGGAGACTTGGACCAGAGAGAAGCAGATTCAAGTACTGGGCAGGAGAGAGATGGTGGGAGCCCAAACTTCACTTTGGGAGTCTCTCCTACAGTGAGCTCAGTGCTGGCAAGGCAGTGCCTCGTGCTCAGAGACAGGGACTCAGCCAACAGGACTCCCAGGCATCTGCTGCAGCTTGGGAATTGCCATGTGTTTTCCCTTGTCAGGCTTGATGCATTCAAAGACGTGTCCTGCCTCTAGCTATCCCCAGGCAGGTAGCTCATCCTGTGTCCCCCACGCTGCCCTGTGGGACTTGGTCCATCTTTCACTCCCTCTGTGCTCGGTCCCTGCTGTCATGGGCAGTGACAGTGCAGCCAGGTGAGCTTTCACAGACATTTTAACACGTACCAAGTGGACCTGCAGTTTGATATTGGTCGTGCTGATGCAGCACCAATGCAAGAGGAAGGTACAGTTGGATCCCTCCTGCTTCCCTGTCCTCTGGCTAGCCAGGTAATTTAATAAAATTCTTTGCTGTGTAGGCAGCTGTTAACAGCTTCAAAGCAGTGCACAGACATTAATGCCAGCACCCTGCAGCAGCAGGATGTGACACTAACCCGTCAACAGGAGACGGCAGTAAGTCACCTCTCCTTTCAAGTGTGCTGCTCGGAAGTACAGTCACAAGAAGGCAGCACTTGTACTTCACCTCTGATACATTAGAGAGCACCTGGTCCTGACGGCATGACCAGCATTTGATCCTCGTTGCCTTGAAGCTGGTAAGAATCCTTTGAAGTTGCTGCAGTTCAGTGGATCCCTTTAACTTCCTGCTCCTCATCTGCCAGAGGTGGGAGCAGAGGCACAGCTGTGCTTCTGCAGTGGCTGCTCTCCTGGACTCTGGTCTGTGTGCTGGCTCTGCCTGGGCACAGGGGAGAGCCACCGCTTCCCGTCATGTCGAGATGCACACTCCCCTTGAGGTGGGAAAGAACAAGGATTGCCAGAGACAGCAGAGCAGAAATCAGCTCTGTCAGGGTTTCCAGGTCCTGCTGACACCGGACTGCCAGTAACGAGGTTTGGGAGATATTTTTAGCCAAATGGGAAGGGAGGTGCCCTTGGCTTTTTGTTTTCAGCCCCAGGCCAGCACGAACAATGCTCTGCGACTCCTGCTGCAATGCCCAAAACAATTGCTAGAGGCACATCCCAGCCTGATGTTCCCCTGCCCTCCTGGTGATCCATGTGTCCCAGAGGATGCAGCGACTTGGTCTGAGAATAAATCCTTCCCACAAGCTGGACTGAGTCACAGTGACCTGTTCCAAAGACGTGAGGATTGAAGGGGTGTCCCTGCGGCACCTCCTCACTGCCTCACTCCAGCTGCACATCGGCTGCAGAGCCCCTGACAGCTGCTTGCCTTGGCTGTGAGGAAGCACCTTGAGATCACCCTGTTTCTCAGAGAAGGACACCTTCCCAGTGACACCAGTGCATGAGCAGCGTGCTGTGTTGAGCTCAGCATGACCAAGCAGCTGTATGAACCCTCTGTGGGGCACAAAATCTTCTGTGGTACCAGTGTGGGAAATGCCCTCCTAAAGGTCTGGTCCTTTTAATTTTATTCCATCCTTGGTTTTTTGCCTATCAAAGGCTGGAACTGTTCCTTCTCAGAAAAAAAAAATTAGTTTCCAGTTGGCTTTTTGGCTTTAGCTGTGTGTTTTCTGGGCGTAGTGCAGTTTTTCTCAGCTGAGCCATTGTATGAAGTAATACAGTGATAGACTGTCTGTGTGTATGAGGCTGTTTGTATGGGAGCCTTTTGTTTCTCTCTCTGCAGTGGGAGCCTGTGCTCTGATTGTGTGCATTCCAGGCTTTATCAGCACTGGGAAGATGTTGCTTGGGATTTAAGGTTCTCAGAGATATTCTTGTTTGGCATTCACAAAATCCAGAGACACGTGTTGGACATGGACATTTTATAGACTCCAACAGCACAGCAAGAACTACAACCTGCTTCAGTACAAAAGGGAGAGGAGGAAAAAACAAACACAACAAAAAGCTTTTCATACAGTGTTTGAAAAGCTCCCTATTAACAAAACACATGGCATAAAATGTGCTCCTTGTTGTGTTGGGGGAGAAGTGAAACAAACTGCTTGAGAAATGCATTGATGGGAAAGATGAGCACCAAGAAAGCTGTCAAAATTAAACAGTCACTTGTAACATCCAAACCAACAGGCAGTGCCAGCAGGAAGAGAGGGAAATGGAGTACAAGGTCCGCATCCCAATCAGAGCTGGGGACTGCGGTTCCAGATACGGAGCACCAGCCAGCTGCAGGAGAGATGAGCATAGGTCCTGTCTCTGAGTACCTGGAGGACGAGGGATTAAATGCTGCCTCTTCCCAGGTGAGAAGCACTGTTTGACTTCAGTGGGATGGGTGAATATGAAGCTGGAGCAGAGGTGGAGAGGCTGGTTGTAAAGGTTGTATTGCATAAAATGATGTGAGTGAGCACAGCAAAGTGCTGCTCACTCCAGAGTGGGATGAGATGGAAGCTGTTGGAAGGTGAGGTCTGTTGTGGGATCTGCAGCTCTGAGCAGGTTATGGCTGTGGCTTTCAGGGGTGGATGGACATCCCTGTGCCACCCTCCCAGTCTCCAGCTCCCACGCCAGCCGAGTGCTCCAGAGCATCCATGGCCTTTGGCACCTGCAGAGAGCTGCAGACCCACCTGGACTGGCCACCTCCACAGTCACAGTGAGTGGCAGCAGGGTCAGCCCTGCCAAGGCAGTGTGCTGAGCTCTATCTCCTTCCCTGGGGCAGTACTGACAGGTGACAGTTGTCTGTAGCAGTTGTGACAAAGGGATCAGAGTTGTGGTTTGGTTTGTGCCTGGCCATGGGGTACAGTCAGCATGTCCTTCACAGACCATTCAGAAGGGGCAGAAGACAAGCTCAGCAGCAAAGCAAGGAAAAGCATAAGAACAGGTTCTCAGTGGCATTACACTGAACACTCCCTGCCATCCTCCTGCCCTCTGGCTGGGCAGGCAGCCCTGTCAGATGTGTCCAGGCTTGGGGGTGTCAACCATCACTACCTGGGTTTTTCTCTGTAGATTATTTTTTTTTGCAGATGTCTCTGTTTATGCAACAGTGACAGAAGTGTGATCAAAACAGGCATGTGCTTATCCAAGAGGCAGGGAAGCTGTGGGGAGGGTGAAGTACCATCTTGAACTTAACAGCATGAAAGAATAGAGTGGAAGGTAGGACATGTTCAAGGTCAGGTAATGTGGGAGAACAATGGAAGCAGTTATGTAGAATTACTAATGCTACTGGAAAGGTATTGGGTGTTGTCATCCCAGTGTCTGTTCCTCTTTCCAACAGAACATTGGACTGATTTGTACAATTCAGAGTGGCCATACCTCTCCTTTTCCTTTGCAGTGAGTGAACAGAGAGTGGATGAGAGGCTGCAGTACATGCCAAGACAGTGTCACTGTCCCTTTTGGAGCTGGCTGTGTGGCTGTAAAAGCTCTGCTGCCAGCTGGGAGTTGGGGCAGAAAATGCAGGCAGTCCCTAGTAGCTGGTGCTGAGATACATGAGCTTGCACCTGGCTTTCTGTGAGAAATGTCAATCACCTCTAGATGCAAGGGGAGAAGATGAATTCAGCTACATAAGTACTAGATGGTGGCTGGGTGCAAGTGGATTTAGTGACTTTTTAATGTTTTTATTTGGCTACAAGCGAGTGCTGTTGTATTTACTCTCTCATCTCCCCATCTGTCTGAAAGGGAGAGAGCTAGGGAATGTAGTCTGATACTGTATAACATCTTAAACAGTGTAGGAATGCCTTTTTGTGTGCCTCCATCAGAGATGGAGCTGTGTGGGTGGACAGGGGCTCTGCCAGAGGCACTCCCATCTGCAGCTGGTCCCATCCCAGGGCAAGGGGCAGAACAGCACAGGGCCATCTATGGTCACCTGTGCATGAAGGTGAGCTGATGTTCCTTGGCTGTGAGCCATGTGGATCATGGACCCACAGCTGGAAAACTGCTCTGCAGCACATGGAGCACTTCCCCTGTCCTGAACATGCTGCTAGCCTGGAGCCTGTCCTGCTCTGCTCCTGTCCAATGTGGCCTCTCAGTCCTACCTCACCAGCTTTCCAGTTTGCTTTGTCTCTACATTTATCTTCCTTCTGTGGCTGGACATGTGACTGAAGGCTTTAATTTATTCACAGCCCTCCTTCTGGTAATTTATCCTTTGTACTCTTTGCTGTCTTGTATTATTTAATTCTGTGAAGCACTCTGGGATTCAGTGTGTGTGAAAGATGCTGTACACAATAACATTATGCTGTATTGTTTGTGATTTGCAGGCCTTCTGGATTTCTAATTCTGATTGCAGTGGTGGTTTGTGTTATTTGTGCTATGGCTGTGCTCGAGGGCCTCAGCTGGATCAGACTTCCCTTCCAGCCCTTTTCTTCAGGAGCTCACATCTCACTGTGCCCTGATTTAATGTTGGCTTGCTCCATTCCACATGTAATGGTTGGAAATGCAGGACATGCCACTGGGACATGCATGGATTTGTGGTGTCTTGGTGAAGGCTCAGGGCTACACCTGGTGTGTGACTCCTTGTGAGCTGTGGGGTTGCCCTTGGGGAGAAGTGGAACCATGCTCTCTGGAGGTAGCCCAGGGAGTTCGTGGGTTCCACCCTCAGGAGGGGCTGCTTGGGGCAGGGCTGAAGCAGCTGAATGAGCAGAGTGAGAGCCACCTGTGACGGGTCTCTGCTGAGCAGCTGGACACAGCCAGAGCTGGAGGAGCTCATCAGCCTGTTCCTTTTGGGCCTGGGAAGCTCAAAATAGGGCAAATCTTGGAGCTGCTGGCATGATGTGCTGTGTTGATGGGGGGGAGCTGGCTGCTGCCCACTGCTCTGCTGGCAGGATTGCTGCACCAGTTGCACGTGTTCAGTCCCTGTGCTTTGTGCCAGCTGTAGCTGCAGTTGAGGTGTCTGCAGATCTGGCTTACAGCCTGCTGTGTGCTGCCCTCTGGGTGTCTCACTTGGGTGGATGCAGGAGCAGGAGAGAGGGCAGTAGGTGAGATGGGTTCCTCGAGCAGGGGTGCCCAACCTTCAGTTTGGTTTATGCTTTTCTGGAACCTACAGCATTGAAGCTTCCCAGAGTCACGAGTGAAGTTACAGCCTAAAAATTCTGTATTGCTCTGTCTATCCAGAACATAAGGTTCCCCTCGCAGCAGGTTTTTCCCCTTGTCCAAAGTCTGTGCACAGTTCCACTTTATGCACCAAAAGCCACACTGTCATTTTAGTTGAAGGCTCTGAGCTTGCAGCCTGGTGGAAGCATGGCATCCCTGTACCGTGCTGCAACACAGGACAAGGAGAGCAGTGATACAGGGCCTGTGGTGTTGGATTCCAGTACTCCTGGGGCTGGTGGTAAGGGTGGGCTTGGCACATCCAGCTGCTCACGGTTTCCCCTTTTGCCTGGTCACAGGTACGCCATCGACCGCAGCACGGATGCCGAGAGGATCTTTGACATCGACGCCAAAACAGGGGCTATTGTGACAGGAAAGGTGCTGGACCGGGAGACAGCAGGGTGGCACAACATCACTGTCCTGGCAATGGAAGCAGGTGAGATGGAGGAATGCTGTGCAGAGCAGAGTCTGAGCAGAAGTGGACTGGGACAGGAGGAGGAATATGGGTGCTGTCATTGCAGGGGTGGCCAAAACACGAGTGTTAATCAACACTGAAGTAAAAAAGAAAAATAAATGCAGCGGCGCTGAGTCTGACATCTCCCTAGACAACCTAAAAATACTCTTCCTGAGTCAAGCATTAATAAGGGAGCATGGTCGAATAGTATATTTGATGAACACTAATCAAATTTGTGTTATCTCTGCGCCATCTCTGCCAGTCATCCCTGCACAGCTTGCTGCCTGTGCTCACACCTGCTGAGCAGCACCGGGGGCTCCCGGGGGGCTGTGCTCACATCACCTGCCTCCCCCCATCAGTCACGTGCTGTGTGTGCATGTCCCGTCAGCTGGAGCCCTGTGGCACTGTGGGACCATCAGCACTTGATTCTGCCAGAGCTCCCAGTGTTTGGGCTTCACAGACTGTACCTACACCAGGGTTTGTAGCTCTGGATGCCTCCTGTGTGCTTGGGGTGGTGCAGGCTTGGCACAGAGGGAATGGATGGGAGGTCCTGGGGCTGTAGCAGTGGGAAGGGACTGTGGGAGCACAATGTCCCAGGCACCGTGCTGGGAAACAGAAAGGTGTTGCCGTATTCTTCAAAGTTTTCCATATTTTGGATGTGCAAGTCACCAGGGTAGCCTGGGCCCTGCTGTGCTTTGCCTCTGCCCTGCAGTGGGTACCAGGGAGCTGCTGTGGCTGCAGAGCACCTCCTTATCCCTGCTGACATGTGCCAAGGCCTGTCCATCTGTGGGCAGGAGCCTTCCCCAGGCTTCACTCTGAGTGTTTCTTTGCTCATTCTTGAGAGCTGAAGCTGCTGTTCGTGTTCAAGGATCCAGCCCAAGGCCTGACTTAGGTCCCAGAGGTCAGATCCTGCCACCCACTCTGGCCAGGCAAGGGCACAGGCCCCATGGCCCTGGGAGAGGAGGGGTCAGTGGGCCTGGCCGGACCCCCACTGCCCCGAGGGGATATCCCTGTCTCTGTGGTGCATCCCAGTCTCTCTCTGTGCCAATGCTCTGTGCTGGGTGATGGGAGTGACCCCTGCACTCTCTGGCTGTGGCCTGTACTGGGGGCTCCATGGGGAGGCTCTGCAGGGAGGAGGGGATGGTGGCATTGCAGCACAACTCAGCATCCAGAGGAAACGTGAGGTGACAAGAATCAGAAGGACAATATTTACACGCTGTGGCTAGGATTTCAGAACAAGTCAGTAAATGCTGCAGCTCCCCTCTGGCAGGGAAGCCTGTCAGGCTGGATCGCTTCAAAAGCCAGGGAGACTCTTCAGTGCTCTGACTTCTCCCGTGGTGAGCTCTGACTCATCCATTTTAGCTGCCCAGACATTCTTCCCAGTGACATTATCCTTAACGTTTTGTAATCATGAAATATTAATGACTGATATTGAATTTAAAGTACAATTTATGTCTGAATCCTCTGGCGGAAAGGGCAGTTGTAAAGGTACAGCCTTCTGAGTGATGGAGGGGTTTGGGAGCGGGGCTGTGCAGCAGCTGTCAGGCTGTGCCTGGCGCAGTGGGATCAGCCATGGCAGTGGGAACAGGGAATGCAGGGCAGCTGGGAGCCTCCAGGCCGGCAGCAGCACATCCAGCAGTGCAGTTCCAGTTCCTGGCACACAGCTATCTGGGGCCAGGGGTGCTGGCAGGGCTCTGTGGTGCTCACCATGGGCATGTGGGGTGCAGCTGGATGCCACAAGGCTGGAAATCACCAACTCCATCAGAGGCAAGTGGTTGCACATTCTCTTTCCTCAGTGAGATGTAAACTTGGCAGGAGGAATGGAATAAACCCAGTGGGAGTCCTGCTGCCCAAGATTGTGCCTGGTGCATCAGCTCATTGGGGCTGGTGGGAAACTGTACCCACTGTATTCCCATGGTGCCAGGGCCCGCTGGATTCCCATGGCACCAGTCACATGGCCTGGGGTGTGCTGCAGCAAGATGCTGCATTCTTGGGGCCTCCTTGAGCTGCCCTCCTGGTCTGCTGCCAGGGCTGTCCTGGGCAGGGTTTGACCGCTGCAGGCTGAAGGACAGCACTTGTTCCCATGGGCAGCCTGTGGGGCTCCCAACAGGAGCTGTGCCCCCACCCTGGAGAGCCCTGCCTGGCAGCCGCTGCAGCAGAGACCGTGTCCAGGTTATTTCCCACCTGCGGATACCAGAGTGTATTTGCCTCTGAAAGCAGTCAGAAAAGCTGCAGAAGGTGCCCAGCTGTGCCCATGAGCTGTCTGGGCTTCCCACTGCTGCCATGAGGAGCAAGGGCAGCTCTGTCCCCCCATCCAGGCACCCCAGCAGGAGCTGCCTTGGCCAGCCAGGGAGCAGCAGAGTGTTTGGCCTCGCAGCAAGGCAGCCAGCAGGAAGCATGGGGGCTGTTCAGCTAATCTGGCCTGGGACCAGGCCAAGCGTTTCCACAGATAAATCTTCATCTCCCTCGCAAGCTGTTTACCTTCCTTGGGCTAATATTAGTGATTCTCTTCCTGTTTTCCTCTTTGCTCATGTAAAATGATGAGGCCTTGACTGCTGTGTCCACTGCTGGTAATTGAGATGATAAATCTTCCTGCTGGAGACTGGCTTTAATCAGAGCATTGTGTTTGGATGCAATTTAATGACTCTCATGCTGCTCAGTTTGGTCAGGACTCAGGAGAGGTGAGAGCCATTTGTATGTTACTTGGCTTAACTGCTGCTTCCACTTTGCTTCCCCTCAGCTGGGAGCCACGTTTTCAGCTCCAGCCTCTGATATAGCCACCTGTCAGACGAGTCATATCCCTGGCATGCCCCTGCTCTGTCCTTGGCATCAGCATTCTGGTCTGCAGGCAGGACTTGTACCAACAGCTACAAACCCACCCTGTGCCCCAGAGCCGTGGCATCAGGGCTGGGGAGCAGAGTGGCACATCCCAGTCTTCTATTCTGCATTTTGTTCACCCAATTTGATGAGATAGTGAGGAGTAAATTCCACTCCTGCCTCTTCTGACTTACTTACTAATGTAAAAATTTGGAATTCAGTATTGTACCAGTTTGGTCTTGACAGAGAAGAGCAGGTTGGATGCTGTGCCCAGCAGTGTCCCTGAGCTGGTCTGCTCCAGGTGCTGCAGCTGCACATGGCAGCCCATGGTCCCCTGGACTCTCCTCAGACCTAGAGAAGCTGCTGAGCACTTTTGGGTGTGTGTGGGGAGGAGGGAAAATGGCATTTGCTGGATTTGGAGCTCCACAGGAGAGGTTTGAGTGTAAAAATGTAAAGTGTTTTATTGGGAGATCATGTGAGGGTCTGAAGGAGTAAGGGCTGGATCCTGGCACTGCAGAAACCACAAGTCCTCTCCTTTCCTGCCACAGCAGGGGTGACCAAGCACTGTCAATCCCTTCCCATCCCTGGGAGCTGCTGCAGAGCTACAGAATTGCTGAGCAGTTGCCCAGAGCTGTTCGGTGTCAGTCCTGTGAGCACTCAGCTGTCTGCAGCTCAGGGAGAGGGCAAGTTGGTGTTTTGCATCTGAATATTTAAGAGGAGAATATTGTACTGTTCAGATTACTTACTTACTTGATTAATTAAATAAGGAAATACTCTGGGATGTGGATGAAGATTCCCCTGAAGCATTTGACTCTTGGCCTGATGATTGCCATGCAGCAGGACTGTGACCATCTCACGCTCCAGAATCCTGGCACTGCCTGTCCCATCCCTGCCAGTCCTGTCCCAGTGCAGCCTGGGCAGGGGTGGCACACCCTGAGCCACACTGGTGGCTGTGTTGAGGCAGGCACAGAGCAGCAGTGTGGAAGCACCGGGCACAGCTCTGTCCCCCACGTACGGCAGCTCCAGTGGCTCTGAAATAATTCCTCCCATGTTGGCAAAGGCAGCTGCCAGTCACCAGCCTGGAGCTCCCATACTGCACGGCTGTGCTTCCAGCATCTCCCTCTTGTTCTGTGTATTTTCCATGTCTCTTTCCTCAGTCTTTTCAGATTAATAGCATTCCAACTCCTGAAGGAAATGCAGAAAAACGGCATGTTTAATTTTAATTTAGGAAAGCGTTTAGGTAGCAGCCTAGTTTTCTCGCTGCTGTCAATCAGGTTTTCTCAAGGCTGACATCAATTAGTTTAAAAATATTGAATGTAATTTTGCCTGACACAACATATTGCAGCCACTGCAAAATATAATTTATTTTAGAAGAAGAAATAATTAAACTAATTTGCATGTCAGTCAGCTGAGCTGGAATACCGAGGAGAGACGCTGAAATGGAAGATGGCTTTTTCCCTTCCAGTTGCCCTCAGCCAGCACGTGCTGCCCTCGCCTCAATCACGGGCCAGGTGCTCCTCACAGAGCTCTTTGAGGGCAGGTGCCTGCAGCATCCATGCCACAGCCTCATCCACCCTCTGCTTCTCTTCCTGGCACTGGGACTGCCTGCTGAGCCTTTGTTGCTGTGCTGGGGCATTTTGGGTGCATGCACACAGGTAGAGAAAGCACAGGCCAGAGTTTCTGACCTCGCAGATGTGAATCCTGTGTTAGCTGAGTGCTTTGTGCCTTTCATCACAGATGTGCTCCAACAATCTTAATCACACTTCTGACCATCATAATATCAGTTTATGCCACTGTTACAAAAAACATATTTCAGATGTTTTGAAGATAACTTCTTTCAAATACATCCAACCATTTTTCATTTTTTCCACCTGTAAATCCAGGTACTGGCTCAGAGGAAGGGGAAAGTTGATAAAGCATTAAGAAACCTTCAAATATACATTCTACAGCCATAATAAAAATAAAAAAAAGCTGATGTGTGCCTCACTGGAAAGGTAGACAAGAGTGCAGCAGTTGCCTTTCTAACCTTGATGTTCCTGGACACGTCAAAGTTTGACCCCGTCACTGAGCCAGCAGTAAGCATGAGCCTCAGGCTTCAGCAGTTTTAGAAGGGCAGAAGGAGAGCTTTAATATGACAGGGTGCATTTAGAAAGGTCACTGTCTCAGAGCCGTGCCCAGGGATGCAGGAAGTACCCCTGGCTCGGGAGGGGATGGCTGCAGGTGCTCAGCTCTGAGCCGAGGAGCGGCCGTGACCCCGCTCCTGTGTGCGGCTCCAAGCGCTCCCGGCTCTGCAGCTGGAGCTGGACCAGCATGGCCCTGTGCTTCTGCCCGGCTCTGGCACACACATCCCTCCTCAGGGGCTGGGGAAGATGCTCTCCAAGAGAAGCTGCTTTGCTCAGGATCACCTGGATGTGCAGACCTGGCACGCAGGATCCCAGCAGGTCCTGGGGAGGGTTCGGCAGTGCTGGGTTTGGTTCCTGCTCACAGCTGGCTCCCACACTGTGGGGCACTAAGGGAGGAGCTCCTCCTCTGGGTTACAGTTAAGAAGGGGGAGAGCTGGGATCCTGAATTCTTCCTCCTTTTAGGCTCTACTTCCTTTCCTCTCTTTCTGCTTTTCCTCGTCTTTCTCTCAGCAATCCCAGCCTGCTCCAGAGCTGAGCAGCGGGGATGGTTATCCATCTTCCTGTGGGTTGAGGAGGGGGTGATGAAATGCTGTCATCCTCCTTCTTGCAGGAACTGAACCCTTTTTCTTCCTGCTCATTTGTGGGCATCAAGCACACACCCCGCTGTCTCCCCGGGCTCCCTTCTCACCCCACTGCCTCCCCCTTTCTTTCTTCCTGCAAGCAATTGCAGTTTATTTCACTGCACCAATATGCCTTTTAAAATAACACATAGTTCTAGGCTTTCAGTCACGACTTCAGCCTCCCTCCCCCAAAAACAACTATCTAATCACCAGAGCAGCTGGTCTGGGTGAGAGGGAGTGATAACATGAGAACCGGGTGAAGGCAGCTCTGGGGAGGGGGCTTAGATTCCTGGCTAATTATGGAGCAGCGCTAAATCTCCTCTCCCCTGGGTCCTCCCCCACCTGATCTGTTGGGGCCAGTATTAATGTTATAGACAAACAGGCAGCAGAACTCCTGCCTGAGTGTGGAGAGAAGCATTAGTTCTGTCACAGGTGCAGCCTCTGGGTAAAACAAAGGAGATGGAGTAAGAGGGAGTTCTCATTTCTGGAGATATATGAGGTGCTTCAGCAAACATCAGGCCCTCCAGAGTGATTTATAATCCTATGGCACGGGCTCGGTGTCCCTCGGCAGTGTGTGTGCAGCTCAGTGATGCTGCAGTGAGTGGAGGTGTAAATGCTGCCCCACCCCACGTGCAGAGTGAACCCCAAGGGAGGGTGGGTCCCCAGGACCACTGCCTGTGTGAGGCTGGGCTGGAAGTGCCAGGGTGAGAGGGCTGCCCTCAGTTTTACTGTGTGAGCCCCTCATGCCAGCTGGTGGATGGTGCTGTGTTTAAGCTGCGCTGGCACAAAAACCATGTCAGCACAAGAGGCCTGAGTCCCTGGGCAAGAGCCTCATGCCTCAGTGGGGTACATTTGGCCCAGGATCACCTGGGCACAGCAGAGGTGGATGGACAGATCTCACTACCAACCTGTGCCCTCAGTTGATTGCAGCTGTTTCACATCCCAGCTCCATTGTTCAGCCTTCAGGTGTTGCTGCCAGTCTCGAGCACCTATGGATCAGGATCCAGGTCAGAGGGTGATCTCACATTCAAGTTTTCTGTTCCATCTTGGTGCTGTTTAGCTGGAGCACAGATCCTCGCCACTGGATGGCTGACCCTTATGGCTGGGACTAGCTTTGGGCTGTTCCCATTTTCCAGGAGTAGATCAGGTGGTGTTTCAGGAGTCCTTGGCACACAGTCCAGTGGTGAGCATGAGCCTCAGGCTTCAGCAGTTTTGGAAGGGCTTCTTTTGCAGGGTGCAATGAGGCTGAAGCATGCTCTAGAGGTGCTGCTGTCCTCTAGACAGTCTGTGCCACAGGCAGGCAGAGGTGCAGCACTGGCAGCAGCCACGATGGCCTCTGGACAGATGGGGATGAGGGTGTTTGCTCCCTGATAGCAACAGCTGGTCCTTTGTCCTGAAGCTCTGCTTCTCTTTCTGTTTCAGATAACCATTCCCAGGTGTCAAGGGCCTCTCTCCGGATCCGGATCCTGGATGTCAATGACAATCCACCTGAGCTTGCCACCCCCTATGAAGCCTCTGTGTGTGAGGATGCCAAGCCAGGCCAGGTAGCGAGAGTCCCCCAGCCCTGGTCTCAGGCTGCAGGCAGCAATCTGGACCAGTGCCAGCTTTCCCATCTGTTCCCTTCTGCCTGAGAGCCTTCCTGTGCATCCCCTGTCGCAGTGGGAGTCACTCTGCTGGTCCCACTGAGCCCGTCTGCAGGGCTGAAGGCTCGTCCCTCTCTGGCTGTAGCCAGCACTGCTGCTGGCTGGACCCTGCCTGTGGGACCCTGGGAGAGGCCGTGGAAGCAGCACTGGTGCTTACCTCTGCCTTCTCCCCACAGCTGATCCAGACAATCAGCGTTGTGGACCGGGATGAGCCTCAGAGCGGCCATCGTTTCTACTTCACATTGGCACCTGAAGCCACCAACAACCACCACTTCTCTTTGCTGGATATCCAGGGTAAGTCCTGCTGTACCCAGCACCCTTCACACTGAGCAGCACCTCTGGCCATGGAGAGGGGTGCGGGTTATGGTTCCTCTGTGCCAGCTCTGGGTGCTTCGGGCATGCTGCCGAGCTTCTTGTCAACCTGAAATGGTGGGACTGGTCAGCTAACAGCTTGGATTTCCTCAAGGAGGCTCTGCGAGCTTTATCCCTTGCTGCAAGCAGCTACAAAGCTCCTCTCATGCTGTCTGGTTAAGTCTTTGGTATTTTCAGGGCTCTCAGTGCCTTTCTTGATGGGAAATCTCCAACCTGCCTGCAGGCAAGGAGAGTATATGGATTTATAGATGAACACGCTCCCATTTTGAGCATTATGATTGATCCCTCTCCAAGGTAAATCCTGGAGCATGGGTTGTCTTGAGGCTGCCACGTGGTGGCCAGCCCTGTGCCCCCAGTGAAGGGGACCAGCTCCAGAGCCATGGGAGGCAGTGGGGCCACACTGTAGCCAGCCCACAGCCACAATGGGTTCTCTGGGACACAGCATGCAGAGCATGATTCCCTGGGGTGTGGTGGCTCTGGGGTGTGCAGTTCCTCTGTTTCCTGGGGCTCATCCTCTCTTTTGGGACACACAGCCAGGCAGAGCTGTCTGTTCCTCTGGGCAGCTCTGGGGCTCTCTGCATCCCTGAGCTCAGGAGCTCATCCTGGGTGACCTGATGCTGCTGTGAGTGATGGGGTGCTATGCAGGCTCTGCTGGCTGAGCCTTGCTGCTGTTGGATTTTGCAGGCTGTCAGGTCAGACCGCATTTGTGTGGACAGTAACAATCCAGAAAAGTAGTTACTGGGATGCTTCCTATTTTTGTCTGGTGTTTAGGGTGAATTTAGGTGTTGATTGTAGCAGTAGGTACATCAGGGTCCCCTGCAGATACTGGGACCTTCTCCAGCCACGTGTGCATGTGCTTTTCACAGGGGCCAGCAGACCACATTGAAATTCTTCTTTGGTTTTGGTTGGGTTTTCTTTTAAAACCATTTTCTTCTCTGCTTTTGCAGCTTTATCTGTCAAAAGCCTGGTTTAGTTTGTTCTGAGCTTATCATAGGAGCCCTGTGCTGACGTAAGATCGTGCTTGCTCAGTTTGGTTCAGCATTATTAGGGACAGTCAAAATGGAAAAGCTTCAGATGTGGTGGTAGCACAGCTGGATATTGCTTTGTGTCCTGAGTAGCACAGCTGTCCCTGACTTGAGTCCCTCCCCCTCTGCTCAAGGGCAGCTGTTCGGAAGACCTTTGCTTCTTATCATGTAAACAGGCTTTAATCCTCAGCAAGATTTTGCCCCACACCCAGCGATTAACTTCCCTCACTTTCTTTGAAGGACCTTATAAAAATGTGCTCAGACACACTGAGTTACACCCGGGTATCCATCCCTGCCCAGACCCTCATGAGGCTCTGAGCTCTGGGCCAGGCTGTCTGCCATGGCCAGGTTGCCATCCCAGAGCCACCACCACTGTTCTGCTCGTCTGGCAGGGCACGTGGCTGGGGGTGTATGGAGCTTAGCAGAGGCTGCTTGGCTCCCTGGCTCTGTGTGGGGGTCCACAGCAGTGGCCTAAGAGCTGGCATTACAGTAGATGCAGGACATGTGTGCCACCATCTCCTCCGGAGCTGCTGCTCTCTTGAGTGGGATGAGGCTCTTGTGGCACAGGGTAATTCTTTTTGCTAAATGATCCCTCGAGCTTTTTGTGTGGTGTAACACTGCATAAAATGAGTAAAAGCTGGCATCACCTCCCGCCTCCTGCTCTTGGGAAAACAAATGTTGTTGCTGCAGGGTTATTCCCAGAGTGTTTGGAGACCCTCCCAATTGCTGAGCAGTACTGTCTTCTACAGCAAGTGGAGGTGGCTGCCTGTGGCAGATGGAGGCACTCCTCATTTCTAAGAGGGTGCCTTGGTGCCATCTCCCTCCCTTTGATTTCTGCCCCCTTCTTCAGTCCATCGACTGCCCTGGGTACACTCACCTTTGCCCCTGCTCTCGTAGGTGTCCTTGCATCCTCCCTTGTGTTCCCCCTTTGCTTCCCTCTCCTGCATTCACCCCTCTTGCATTTGTCTCTACTCCCCCATATAAATATCAGTGGTGACAAACTGCTACCACCAGCCCATCTGTTTCTTTGTACAAATTTGTAGCCAGTTTTGAAACGTGATTTATAAATATTGCTTTTGCAGCCAAGGAGTGACACTGATGGATGTCAGCACAGATGGATTCTCTAAGCTCTTGCTTAAATCCTCTCTTTTGCTTTGCACCTACTTCACTTGGCTCCTTCGTGCCACCAGAAAGCCACCTTGGGAAGTGACTTCTCAGCAGGGTGGGGACCAGCACTGGCTCAGAGCACTCCTGTTGCAGTCAGGCAGGGCAGGAGCACCTGGAATGGTGGGAGAGCCTAGGGGGCTGAGATGGCAGCAGTATTGGGGCTCCTTCTGGGGTCCTGGCTGTGGCACACAGAGCTGCTGGCTCCAGTGCTCCGGGCTGGAGATGCAAAAACCAAAGGTGTCCCTGCAGGTGACCACAGAGCTGAGTTATGGGTGGTTGGCAAGAGCTGGGCTTTGGAAACAGCACCATTGCCTATTGGTGTCTCTCTTTCCGTGCTTTTGCTCTGTCTGAGGGAGCACTCACACACTTCCTGATCCATCAGACAAGAAATAAATGTCACCTGTGGTAACAACAGCGCCCATCCAGGAAGAAGATACCCATCATAAGGAGTGACTAAAGGAAGAGATGGAATTAGAGAAGCTGACTGTGTTAAGATCCAACTAGTACCATTCCAAAGACATTCACCATCCTCTGTTTCCTAACTCGCCTTTTGCTGGGTCTTTCTGGCCTGAGAAAATTGATTACAGCAGGATCAAAGGCAATTAAAGCCTGAAATCATGTTCTCCAAGAAATGCTAATTGTGTTGGAAGGGATGGTAACAAGCATCCAAGCCCGGCAACCTGGAAGGAATGCTAGGTAATATGGAGTGACACATGGAGCTACTGACTCCAGGGCTCAAGGGCTCGGCAAGCAGATGTCTGAACTCTCTGCAGGTCTCATTAAGAGCATGTAATGGGTGATAGAAGATCTGAAAATCCTAACAATCAAAAGCAAAATGTTAGGATTTGAGGATTGCCTGAGGATAGAGGAAGCCTCCTCCAGCCCCGCAGGGATGCCCTTCTCAGCACAAGCAGCGCAGATGCTCGTTTGACCGGGCCAGGGTGTGTGTGTAAAAGAGCATCAAACCTCCTCAGGACTGAGCAAACAGCGGAGCAGCAGTGGTGCTGTGGCCTGGTATCCAGAAAACTTGAGAGAAGGAAGAGGCAGAAGGGAAAAACAGGATGTTTCTTCTACCAGCTGCACCATCTGGGGCTGGAGGAGGTCTGCTCCCTTGGGGCAGCTCTGGCAGCAGTGTGCCCGCAGGCCCAGCCGGGTGCTCCTCCCCAGAGCCCGTGTTCCCAGGCTCTGGTACGGCACAGCAGCTGCTGGAGAAGGGGGAGACTGATGCTCACAGGGCCCTGTGAGTGTGGGAGAGGGAAGGGACATCAAAATCTCTCCTAGCGCTGTTTGAGATTGAGTTATGAGAAGGATTTATTAGTTCGGTCTTTGAGGTTGCCAAGAGCCTCTTTGGAGAGGGAGTCTGGGAGACTTAATTATTTTATTATTCCTAGTGACGTTAAGCTACCACCAGAGTATATTGCATTTCCAAATGTTCCTCTTAGGGCAGTATTGATGAGTCCCTGTGTGTTCAGCTCATGTCAGTTCCTGCCTTGTCCAGTGTCCTGCTCCTCGGGTGGACAGAGGGGCCATCTCCTGCCCTGTCACACAAGGTGATGTGATGTAGCACAGGATAATGTCACTGCATGATCAGAGAGAGGGTGGCACTAAAAACCTATGAAGAAAATGTCAATTTGTGCAGCAAGAAAGCAGTGATAGTAAAAGGTTTTTGTTGGGGCATCAGAGGACACTCAGCACAGCCGCAGCAGAAGGTGCAGCTTTGTGGGGACTGGGCAGGAAACCAAGTGTGGAGACCCAGACTCGTCTGTTCAGGAAAGCTGTGGATTAACGTCTGCTCACATTCCAGTGCTGCTCCTGAGATGCACTGCTCCTCAGCTCATCACCCCAGAAATGGATTTGGCAGGAAGCTGCTGCGGAGGAAGACACACGAGGGCTGCGGGGCCAGGGCTGCCTGGGCTGTGCCAATGCAAACAAATCTGCACCAAGACACATCCCAAAGCAGCTGCTGTGGGTCAGCTACACGTAAAGAAACAACTGCACCAAGAGAAATGTTGATTGTTTTGTAGGAGGTTGCTTTGGATGCATTTTCCAGGATACACATTCCAAGATCTGGGCGAAATTTTCCCAGATCTGTGATCAAAAGGACTACAATCATATGGCCGAGCACTGCTTTTTATGGAGTATCTCAGAGGGGAAGACAGAAGTTTGTGAGTGCAAACAGAGGAGTTCATGGTGGTGGGGAGCAGGGGGTAGTGGGCAGGTGGTGGAGCCATTTCAGTGCTGGAGGCAGGTGATCCCTGCCAGGCTGGGCTCTGGCTGTCAACCCTTGGTGAGCAGTTTCATTGGTGTACACGTGAAATTTCTGTGGATCTCCCTCCTGGGATGAAGGGTGCCTGTCACCCTGTTCAGGAGATAAAATACAGTTTCATGATGTTTAAAATAGTGTTTGTAGTTGTGTTTTTTGTTGCTCCCTTACATTAAGTTTTGGGTCACAGGGCAAACCCTCAGCCCCTTCCTGAGGCAAGATTTCTCTGAGCAGAGCTGTGTGTCATGCTGCTGTTAGATTTAAGTATCAGCTTCTTTATTTTGACTTGGTGGGTGGCAATATTTCTTTTTCAGTGGTGCCAGGTTGCCTAAACTGTCTGGGCTGAGCTGAGGTTGGTGCCTGCCCCTCTGCCACTTTCATGTCTAGTTCCCCTTGGTTTCTAGAGACTGTTTCTAAAAATACAGCATGCCTTGTCGCAGGTCCCTAACAGGAGCTGGAGCTGGCTGTAAACAGAAGGGAGTTGCCAGCCTCCTGCTGCATTTCCAGAGAGGTTTGGTGCTACCCCTGTGTTTACACAGGGCTGAAGAGCAGCTGGGGGAGTTCCCAAGCACTATATTCCATCAGCCCTGTGTGAAGGTTGGGCTGAGCTGCAGTGGAGGGGCAGGGCTGTGTGCTCAGGGATCCTCTGAGCCAGGATCTGACCCCAACCCCAGGCTGGTGACCTGACTGATGTGACAGTGACAGCAAAGGTGGCCTTCCTGGGCTGTGGCCAGAGCCTCGCTCTCTTACAGCACTTTGGTCTGTCCTTTTTGTCCTGTGGTTTTATCTCCACTTGATCCAGGTGTCTGAGGCTTACTTTTAGCTGGGCTAGCTAGGAGCTAGTCCTGGCTTCTTGCTGAGATGGTGCCATTAACATTATTTATGTTAATAATAATAATACACTGCAGCAAGGAGGGGGGACCAGCACCAAATGAGATCTCATTACCTTTGCTCAAACGATTAGCATAACAATATTTTTTTTTCCTAGCTTGTCCCTGGTAGGCCACAGGCAGCTCTCAGATGTTGCTGCCACCACACTTGGTTCAGCCTCCTTGCACCCAGGGGCCAGTGCTCCCCTGTTCCTCCCGACACCTCTGCCCAGTTGCCATGGTGCTGCTGCCACATGCTGCTCCAGCAGTCTCAGCCACAGTGGCAGGTGTCCCACAGGACAGGAGTCTGTGCTCTGCAGTGCCCTGGCTGCCAGACAGAGCCTTTGGGATCTGCTTCCTGGCTGACCAGTAGATCTTCCATCCTGGCTCACCTCCTGTCCCCACCATGCCCTGTGTGCTCTCATGCAGCACCCAATCCATACAGCAATTTCCGTGATGGCAGCGGCCCAAGGGCCAGAGTTACAGTAGATGTCTTTTCCAATGGAAGAGCTGATTCATAGAGAAAGGGGATGGTGTGGCATAAATCAGGTCCAATGAGGAGAGTCTGTAGACAGCAGCACCTTGCCATGAGTGGGCCAATCTGTGGTTTATTAGATGAAGACTTCAGACAGTCAGCAGCAGCTTGTGACACCTGGCTGCAATTGTCACCTGCTGTTCAGTCCCATCCTGCCCATGCTGCTGCTGGCTGGCAGCCTGCAGCACCCCTGAGCAGGGAGTCAATCCCAGTGTCAGTCCCTGTCCCTACCCTCCCTCCCTGTTCCTGGTTGGCAGCAGCTGCTCCTTGGGTTCATTGCTGGCACCAGGGCCCTGGAGGGTCCCGTGAAGTGGCTGTGTTAATGGGATCTTAATGAGTTGTGCTGTGCCAGCTGAGCCCCTGAAGCAGCAGGGTGGAAGCAGATGGGGAGGAGGATGCCTGACTTGGCTGAGAGGCTTGGAAGAAGCTCTACCTACTCTTTCAGGAGTTACAGAGGATCACAGGGGTATCTGGCCCTCTGGCTGAGGCAGGACCATTCACTCATGGCTCTTGGCTTTGGAAGAAGCAGTGTCTGCTCTTGCAGCCTCATTGCCACCTGCAGATCTTTTCTGTTCTTGTGTACATGTCAGCAATTGATTTTTATTCTGATTCTGTGCCACTCTCAGATGGTCTTTTAGAAGTTTTTCCCCTCTCTCTGTGGCACCTGCATTGTTTGTCAGCTTGGTTCAGAGACTCATGTGCTGCCGTTTCTGTGCCAGGCTCATTCCCAGGTGTGGTGACAAAGGAGATGCCAGGCTAGCCCTGAGGTGCTGCTGGCAAAGGGGAACGTGCTGGAGTGGAGCTGGCCATGTTCAGGCACTCAGGCTGCAGGGGGCTGCAGTGCCAGGGTCCATGAGCTGAGTCTATGTGATGGAGGAGGGGGAGGCCCCAGGCTCTCTCAGGATGGCTCCTGGAGGTGGTGCAGGAATAGCTCCAGAGCATGGAGGAGCTCCTGGCAGGTCCTGCAGGCTGTGATGTGGGGGTGACTTGGCTGTGGCTTCGCTTGTTCCCTGCAGACAACACGGCAGCGGTGCACACACAGAGAGTGGGCTTCAATCGCCAGGAGCAGGATGTGTACCTGCTCCCCATCCTGGTGGTGGACAGCGGCCCCCCAGCCCTGAGCAGCACAGGGACTCTGACCATCCGTGTCTGCGGCTGTGACAGCAACGGGGCCATCCAGTCCTGCAACAGCACAGCCTACGTCGTGTCAGCCACGCTGAGCCCCGGCGCCCTCATCGCGCTGCTGGTCTGTGTCCTCATTCTGGTTGGTGAGTGCCTGCCTGTCCCCTGCGTCCTTCCTGTCCTGTCCTGTCCCAGCTCCACTCCATCAGCATCATGTGAATGTGTGCAGGCAGGTGCTGTGGGCACAGAGCAGGCTTCTCTGCATCTGTCTCCTCCCTGGTAGCTGCAGCATGGGGGGCATGGACCTCAGCCCCTGATGGGGGGACCAGCTCAGGCGTGCTGGGGCTCCACAAGGCAGCCAGAGCAGAGTGTGATGCTGCCCAGCAGAGCCTGGAGAGCTGCTGGCTCACTCCCTGCATAGAAAGGCAGGAGCCAAGAGCAGCTTGCCAGCTGTCATGCTGTGCCCACAGCAGGCATCTCGAAGCAGATGGGGTGTGTGCTCCCAGCATGTGGGAAGGTGTGGCAGGTGTGGGGCACACAGGTGTGTCCTTACCTGGAAAGGTCAGTGTTAGAGTGTGTGTGTGTGTGGGCAGGATGCAGAGCTTGGCTGTGGTCAAACCAGTGTGCTGCCTAGGTCAGGACCTGTACCCCAGGAGTGCTGCTGCCTGCCAGGGGCACACTGGCACAAGCTGTGCTGGGCATGGGGAGCATGTGCTTCTGTGCCTGTGGGAAGGGGCTCTGAAAAAGGGATATTGGAGTGCCATCAGGTTTAGCACAGGACAGTTGATGGATGCAGCTGCTGAAAGTCCTCTCTGGCCCCAAAGCTGTCTCCTTGCTGGCTCCAAGGGCTGTCCAGACACCTGTGGGAGGCAGCACGTTGTTTGGTGAGGTCTCCTCTCCTTGGCATGGCTCCACTCCGTGTCTCCTGCAGCATCTCTGTTCAGAAAACCCTTTCCCACAGGGTGCGCTTTACACTGGTTTCATTTTCCAACGCAGTGCAAACAAATTTCTGCCTAATTGCCCAAACGAATAAAGTGCACATCGGTGCTTTAAAGGTGATGGGCTGAATGGATGATGATCCAGGACACAGCTGTGGCTCGCTGCTCGGGCTCTGTGCCATCTGCTCCACATTCACCCACCCAACATTTGCCTGCTACTGTGAATCATGCACCCCGTTTTCCTACTCATCTGCAGAACCCATCCGTTTGTCTGTCCAGCTGTGTGTTTATCCATCGCTCCCTCCTGTCTCGGTGGTCACGCTGCATGGCAAAGGAAGCTCTCAGTCTGCCCTGGAGCTTGGGCAAGCCTCTCTCCAAGCCAGTGCACAGCACGGCTGCTGCTTGATGAGCCTGGCTGATGGGAGCTGTCTGGCATGCCGGCAGGGCTCCCCGTGCCGGGGGTGCCGTGCCTCCACACCTGGCACCAAGCAGGAGTCATCCTCACCCTGCAGGAGCACGGCGTTCCCGAGACTCTGCGCCCATCTGACTGTCTCTTCCTTTCCCAGTGCTGGTCCTTCTGATCCTCACGCTGAAGCGACACCACAAAAGCCACCTGACCTCTGAGGATGACGAGGACATGAGGGACAATGTCATCAAATACAACGATGAAGGGGGTGGTGAGCAGGACACAGAGGCCTATGACATGTCAGCCCTGCGCAGCCTCTACGACTTCAGTGAGATCAAAGCTGGTGATGGAGGTGGGGGGCCAGGAGAGGGGGGCCCAGGCAGAAACCCAGCCTCGGAGCTCCATGCCCTCCCACAGTGGGTGCAGAGCCCAGACCTGGACTTCTCTGTGTTCAGAGACTATATCTGCAGGAAGGTGGAGCAGGCAGATGAGGACCTCTCTGTGCCGCCCTATGACTCATTCCAGACCTATGCCTTCGAGGGCTCGGACTCCCCAGTGCCCTCCCTGAGCTCCATCAACACCTGGTCCAGCAGCTCGGAGCAGGACTTCTCCTACCTGGGGGGCTGGGGGCCACGATTCCGGCAGCTGGCAGCGCTGTACGCGGGGCGCAGGGGCGAGGAGGACGGCGAGGAGTCCTAGCTGCCCCTCCAACCCCGTGGGCTCCGGACACCTCCTGGACTGGGGCTCCAGGCCGTGAGGTGCCACACGGGAATCGTGTGCTCCTGGGCCGGACTCCATGGCTGCCGGCCAGAGGCTGCACCGCGGGCACCGGGCCACTGCTCCTCCGCAGCTGCCTTTGGGCTCGGGTGGGCTCCACACTCACGTGGGGAGGCTGGGGAGCCCAGAGGAGCCACCGGGCTGTCCTCATCTCCTCAAAGCCAGTCTCCATTAAAGCACTACGCATTGACTTAAGAAGGAGAAAATCTAATTCAAGAGGGTTTGAAGAGGGTTTCTCCCCCACAAATTATAATTTAAATAGATCTGTTCGGTGATCCCTATCCAGGAGAGGAAGAGCAAACCGGGAGCCTTTTGTTGTCTAAATTGTTTTTGTCACTTGAGTCAGAGCATTTAAAGAGCTTTGATTTCTTTAAGAGCTTTCCTTGCTGAGGGAAACAAGCTTTTAACTTCTGTTCAGATTTTTCCCTCCTAAGTTTACGTGCTTTTTGAAGTCTTCCTTTTCACTGCTCCCCTTGGGCCTCTCGGTAGCCCCTGGCTGCGGGCATGGTGTTAGAGGGAGGATGCCAGGCTGGGATCACATCCTGCACAGAATGGCCGCTCTCCTCAAACCAGGTTTCCCTTCCGTGCTGCAATCACTTCACCCCTGTATTGTGGTCACAGAGGTGCTGGTGATGTGAAGGGGATCCCCAACACTCCCTGCACAGCAGACATTGTCTGTGAAGTCCTGGTGTGCCCCACAGCCCAGTGACAGACAGGGATGTCCCACCTGTCACCGAGGCGCAATGTGCCCTGGGCCACAGAGCAGCTGTGCTGCTGGGGAATGCCATCAGAGCATTCTGGGGGGCCCAGAGCAGCACCCCCAGGTGGGATCTGCCAGCCCCTCACACAGGACCTGGGGTTTGCAGAGCTCCCAGCCAGGCATTGGCTGTCACCAAATGGTGTGAGCTGCACAGGGCAGCAGGCAGGGTGTCAGTGCTCCCTGGCCCACGGTGGCTGGGGGAGAGTTGCATCCCATGGAGGACTTTGCTGCAGGGTGAGGGAGAACCCTGGACCTCTGGCTGGGAAGAATAATTCCTGCTTGCACCTAGCTGACAGCAGAGCATCACCATTAGCAACAGAACAGCCATCCCCAAGAGATGTTTGTGAGGCCAGAACCTGCTGGCACAGCTCTGGGGCCAAGCTGGCTGCAGGTTGGGCAGCACGTCTGTGACACCTCGGGGTACCCAGGGTGTCCCCACCCCAGCACAGTATCCCACAGCAAACCAGCATGAGCTCCCAGCGGGACTGCTCTTGCATGCAATTCCTGGGTTTGGGAGGTAGGTGATGAGGATGCCAGTGGGATGTGCCGTTGCTCTTCAGGCTGCAGATGATGCTGGAGAAAAGCACTGGGTGCCCGGTGCCTTCCCAGCCTGCCAACTACCACAGGGAAAACTGAACAGCCTGTAGAGTGATGTCCTTGCACAGCACCTCAGGCCATCCTGGCTGGTGCAGCTCTTTATCTGTTCATGTTGGGAAAAAAATCAATTATATCATTGATAGGTAACTGATACAGTCTCCCAAGGCCTGACACATCCTGGGCTTGTCATTGGGTTTGTCCTTTTTAGTTTAACCACAGACACTGTTTTCTGTCCTTGGAGAAGGTTTAACTGTAAATGTACATGCGTGTCCATTTTTTTACTGCGTGTTGCTTCCCGGCTGCTGGCGTTGGTCCTTTGGCTGCAGCACGAGACCCAGCAGCAGAGAGGGACAGGACCTGTCTTTGCCATGGTGCCTGCCCTCAGCTGCTCCTGCCCACTGCCACCACGGCCCCTGTGCAAAGCCCCAGCTTGGCTCATACCAGGGCCAGGAGCCCCTGGAGGGACCAGGGTCCCTCCGAGGAGGCGATGGTGCTGTGGCTGGCACCTGTGCCCAGCGTGCTGCTGGTTCACTGTGATGATGCTGGGGAAGGCAGCAGGGCCCTCAAGTGCCAGCTCTGGCCACGCCGTCTCAAGCACGTGGCACCCCGCGCCTCCCAGCAGGAGAACAGAGAAAGCCCTCTCTTTCCTCAGGAATGTGTTCGTGTTTTCCCTCTGGGCTGCAGAGCTGTGCCCGAGCCCCTCTGGCACTGGCCCTTCCTCTAGCCAAGTGTTGTGCAATAGCAGGGCTCTGTCCTAGGAGATGGGGTCTGACAGGGTACGTGTTTAGCAACCCTCCCAGCGGGTTCTCCCCCATCCCTGACCACCCCTGCCCAGCCCGTGCTCCCCGGCGCGCATGCACGCACGCTTGCGTTTTACTTTCTATCCCACGTGTAAATACGGGAGGAGCGTGGTACCGAGTGGTCCGGTACTGAGGGATCTGGTGCCAAACGATCCGGTACTGAGGGATCTGGTACTGAGGGATCTGGTGCCAAACAATCCAGTACTGAGGGATCTGGTACTGAGGGATCTGGTACTGAGGGATCTGGTACCAAGGGATCCGGTACCGAGTGGTCCGGTGCCAAGCGATCCAGTACCGAGGGATCCAGTACCGAGCGATCCGGCCCCGCCGCGCTGCCCGCGCCCCCTGTCCGCCCCCGCAGGAGGAGCTGGCAGCTGCCACCATGTCTGATGGAGTCACTTTGGTTTTGTTTCTCTACCCAGATGAAATTAGAAGGTTGATTTCCTCACCCTTGTTATTTTTTCAAGGTCTTTCTGGGACCTGGAAATAAATTATTTCCTTGTCGTCTAGCCTGAGTCTTACGTGCTTTTTTTTGTCTTTTTTTCTTTCCTTACATCGCCCTGTCATTGTGGTCCCTTTGGTGGCTTCCACGAGGGGCTGGGTGGCTGACAGGCTGCAGCATGTTCCCACTGGCAGGATGCTGTATCTCTGGCTTCTTCCCATTTCTCATTGAAATGCTCATCAGAAAAAGCTTCTTCAAGAGAAGGGTCAATTTTTTTCTCCTGAACTTGAAGGAAATGAAAATGAACAATGAAAAATAATGCCCTTGGCAGGAATTTCCCTTTCAGGAAAAAGTTGGGTTGTGCTTTGAGCAGCTCAAACTATTCTATGATTCTCTAATTCTTCATGGCTTCAGTGCAGCTGAGCATTGTCAACAGTTTTGACCCATTCTCATTTTGGTGATGTCGTGTGTTACAGCAGTGTTCAGTTACTGGCAGCAGCTAAAAAACCCTCCTTCAAACTCAGTTTTAATATTGAAATTATGCAAATAAATGACATTCTGGCCTGACCACAGCTAAATCAATTGCTGGTGGTTTCCTTGCTGGCCAGGGGCTAGGGAAGGATCAAGGTGCTCATGGCAAAGAAGGCCTGGGAAACCTCACTGAGGTGGCTGCAAATGCTCCAGCAGCCATCAGTGTGACAAGGACACACCATGGAGGGATGGAGCAGGCACAGAGAGAGGGGACACAGCTGAGCTCGGTGGTGGCCTCAGTATAGGTCAGCACATAGAAAAGGCAGACTTTAAACTGCTCCATAAGGCAACAGTCATTTAAACAGCGTCTTGCAGTCCTGGCTCCAAAACAGGATTATTGTTCCCCTAGGTCTTTGAGTGTTTCCTTATCCTTCACCATCCCCCTGCCTCCACTCCATCCTGCTCCCTTGATTATTCACTAAATGTTATGGCAGAAGCATCTGGTGACCTTTGATGACAGCAGTTAGTGGGATGCTGTGACAGAAGGGGGAAGTCTTGAGGCCAGAGGGTTTTCCAGAGGCACAAGGTGTACTGTCAGACCTCAGTGTCCACGCAGTTTTCCTTCTCACACTTACAGTGAGTCCCTCTACAGCTGCCAGCCTTTAGAAAGGCTGCATCACATTAATTGCCCCCTCACAGCAAGTCTGTCAGTGCTGTGGTCACAGCTGCCTGCTCTGGCAGGTCTGGACACTTGGCCCATTGCTGTTTGCAGAGAGTTAAGCTGAGTGTTTTTACCCAGGTTTCAAGCCCAGGTCCTTGGCAACAAGAACTCTCATCCAGCTGCAGCTCTCCAAGTCCTGCTGTCCTACTTCAGGCACCCAAACACTTTGGGACTCTAGAGGCTGGGGCCTGGAGTGTTCTGGGAACTCCATGTTGAGGAGGAGGTGTCTGCAGTCACTGTGCTCATTGCTGTGGAGGTGACAAGTGCCTGGCATTGAGTGTGAGCCTGTGCTGTGCAGGAGGATTTGCTTCTTGTATATTGTGGGGAAATGGAGAGAGCTCAAAGCAACAGATTGCCAGTCAGAACCAGACCCTTCACTACAAAAGAGGAGGATTATTGAGAGCTTTGATTGCAGAAGCATCTGTGAAGATGCTTGAATAGCTCCATGCCTCCTCAACACAGCTCCTTCTGAGGAAATTTTCCTATAGCAGCTTCTCTCTCTCCAGCAGTTGCACAACAGCCTCGTTGCAGAGCAGGGTAAGGGCAGGAGGGGAAGCCAGTCCTGCTCTGCAGATGATGGTTCTCGCCACATGGGATGTGACCTGTGGCTGTCTACTGGCAGTGCTGGCCGAGTGGCACTTGCCACTGTCACATTCTGAACGGGTCCTACAGGGCTGGTGCTGCTGTGTCCCATCAGCCACGGGCTGCTGCAGCCCCTTTTCATCCCCAGCACAGGGAGACTGCATCAGTCACCTCCAATGCCTGCACTGAGCCATGGCAAGCTCCAGAAGGCAAGGTGTCCAGGTCTCCTCTAGAGAGGTATTTGCAAAAGATGGATGTGATCTGCTGGGATCATTAAGGGGAAGTGAAAAAAGGGCAGTGATACCTTCAACCCCAGGAGGAAAATCTATCTCTGGTAACTGAATGTAGCAAGGCTGTGTCAACCTCTACCTCCTGTTCCCACTGGCAATATCTTGCTCTGGAAGGTGATCCCTTCTCCCCCCATATCCTCTGAGGAAGCTGCTTTATCACCAGAAAGCTGACTCCTTTAACCACCTCCACCACAGCTAATATCTACCCCCTACATCCTTTCATTTACCAAGCCCTTGAGCTCCTTTCAGGGTTGGTGTCAGACTCTCCCTGCTCAGCAAAATCTCTGTTTTACCTCTCTGCCCTGTGCTTGGTGCTCTGTCTTGTCAGGGCTGTCTTTCTGTGCCACAGAACTCTGGTTTGTGCTCTCTGCTTGCTGTGGCTCTGCTGCATCCCAGCCCATGCCAGGAGTGTTCCCAGTATCTGGAGATGACCTGGCTTTGTGCTTGGCAGCAGCAGTTCTTGCTCCCCTCTCACTGCTGGGAACGGAGCTGTGTTTCCAGACAGCTGTCACAGCTCTGTCACCACAGCCAGAGAAGCTGGAGAGAAACAAAATCATTG